CCCTCATCCTGGTAGAGAGACTTTTCGACGATGCTGCGGATGTTTTCCGGGAGGGCTTCTAAGATCGGCTTGATGTACTTCTCATCAACGTCATCCCAATAGCTTGCGACCTCTTCCTGTCGAGCTTTGACGGCATCCAACTCGCCTGCGTTGTCGGCAAGCTCGATGATTTTCTTTCCAAGATAGGTGCTTGGGTGAGGAGGTAGGAGACAGTGGCTTGGCATCAAATATTCGTAAACTCGGGAATCGCACATCTGGTAGCAGCTGAAACTTTTGCTGGTCACTTCGTAGCCCCAGACACGGATTTGGGGGCTGAGCTCGGCGTTGATTCTCTGGATGATATCCTCATCTTCGACGATCATCTTCAGCGACACAACATTTCCAGCTGCGTGGACACCCTTATCTGTGCGGGCACAACGGACGAAAGAAGATTTCTTGGGATCTGCTGCATTCGCCTTCGAAACCGCGCCGACGCTGACGAGGGCCGTGAATAGATCACCTTCAATGGTGCGTTGTTGCTCGTTCCTATACCATACCTTGTCAACACGATGAATGCGCGTACACTGAACAAGAAAAGACTTACAACTGCATTCCGGAGTATCCAGTGCCCGAGTATCCCATCAGAAGCGCAACCTTCTTCTTGGGGCGGCGCTCTTCGTTGTCGATCTCCTCTTTGGAGAACTGGGTCGCGTAGATCGGCAGGTTGACCTCTTCGCCGTTCTCAATCTTGCGACGCTTAGCTTCGGCTTTGTCTTCATGACGCTGACGCTTGTCTATCGCTTGGCGACTTAATTAGTTAGCTGACAATGCGATGAATGGGAGGTTACAATTGATGCGCCATACCTCCATTCCGCTCGCCCCATATCGCGGTTCTTACGCCTTTCACCACCTCTGCCTCCTGTTCCTTTGTTGTCGGCCATTGTATCCGCTGGAAGACCTCTGATAGATTTGTATGAGGTGCAGCCGGATCGCGCCAGAAAGATCGGTAAAATTGACGAGTGGCAGGGTAATTCTGGGTGTTTTGAGGGAATGACCGAGTCAGAATTGAGCACCCGGGTACTTTTAAGATCCCAAAAAGGTTCCGCTGGTGAATTATCGAGGAACGCATGAAATCAATATTTCGGGGAAATTTGCCCTTCAACTCCGCGCGGTTCATCTTTTCCATGACCTCCGCACTAGTCCCAGAATGGCCTAGTACGTGGGTATTCAGACTAGCCATATCGGGTCACATTCTCGCCTGAGGAATCAACTTTGCATGTGACATGAAGCTCTGGGCATTGAACTGGAATTGTAACGCTCATTGTTCACTCACTAGCTCAGCGTTGCCTGTCGCGCGCAACTCTCACTTTCGTCGTGGACCCCCTCACTCATTTCACTGCCTTTGATCGAAGCATGCTTGCTTTGTCCAATATCTAAATACTGCGACTTCTCGCCTTGCGCCCCATTTAAATTCTCCCCCGGCCTTCTTCCCGACAACCATCGTTTGCTCCTGAGCTTCTGCAACCATGGATCTTTCCAAGACCCTTATCCGAACTGTGGCGCGCGCATTCTACGAGACTCGTCACATTTTAGTTGTCGATGCGCTCTTCTTACATTCAGTGTATGATGAGAATTGATCTCTGTTGAATGGTCACGTTGCTGACCAGCTACAGTCTTCATGCTGAGGATCTCGCTTTCCTGATGGGAATGCAACAGAAAGATCTTCGCAAGCTTTGCGCCAAACTTCGAGAGGATCGCTTGATCGGAGTGTATGTCACTTCTCCCTGATGTGATCTACAACCAAGGGTGGAGAACACAAAGCTGACCTCGTTCTCCGTTGACTATAGGAGCACACGCGCCGAGATACGTGATGGGTCTACTCGCCCAGTCAACCGTGAATACTATTACATCCCTCTACACCCCGTTGTTGATGCGATCAAATACAAAGTCTCCAAGTTGACCGCCATCATCAAGGCGCAATACACACCAAGTGAGGAGCGCAAGGAGTACATTTGTGTACGATGCAAATCAGAGTGGACTGAGCTGGACGTACTGAGTCTGGTCGGAGATGAAGGGTTCGAATGTCAAAATTGTGGCGCCATCCTGGAACGGACAGAGGATGTAAAGGGCGTGGAAGGAATGGACCGTACCGGCCACGAGAAAAACAGTAAGCTTATGGCACAGCTGGATAACATGCTCAAACTGCTCAAGCAGATCGACTCGGTGGAGATCCCGCCGAATGACTTTGAAACAGCGTGGGACCACAAGGTGGAGGTTATCCGGAACCAGAATACACACCCTGTGCGTGCCGCGATTGCTGTTCCACCCAAGGCCCAGGATATCACACGCCCCAATGCCAAGACGGATGCCGCTGCACTGGAGATTTCTCTCACCTCGAGTGAAGAGAAGAGTGCCGCTGAGCAGGCCGATGAGGCCGCTCGCAAAGCAGCACTCGAAAAGCAAAACGCACTTCCAGTTTGGCACACACATTCTACGGTAAATGCAACCCAGGTTGGCAGTGCTCAGATCAAGACCGAGGTGGGTACCTTGGTGAAGCCCGAGCTTGCGGATGAGGACCAAAAACCCAGCGTGGATGCCTTGGATGACAAAGTCGCCGCATACTACGCCGAAATGGAGCGGGAGAAGGCACTGCAAGCCCAGGCAGATGCCAGCAGTGCAGACGATGATTCTGATGAGGAAGACTTCGAGGACGTTGAGGGAATCTCCGGTCCAAGCGGACCGGGTACGCCCTCCATGGCTGGCGGCGTTACAAGCGCCCCCACATCTTCTGTCGCTGGCATCAAGCGTGAACTCGAACCGACCTCTAGTGTACCCCCATCATCTGTTGGGACTCCCTCTACCCCTGCCGACGATGGACCTGCATCAAAGAAAATCAAGGTCGAGCCTGATATCAAGCCTGATCCTGATGCCAAAATTGAGCCCGAGGTCAAGAAGGAGGCCGAGGAATCTGATGAGGATGAGGATGAGTTTGAAGATGTATAATGAAACCATTTTAAAAAAAAATGCCAACATTGGCGCTGGCGCCGAATAATTATGGAGGGCTAAGTAGCCCTGGAGGCTTGCAACACTACTGAAATCGCGCATAGCCATAGAATTGCATTTTGCCCAATCCTCAAGACAAAAAATGAACACTATCAATATTTTTGACAATGCAAGTAAACTAGATTTTCGCCTTTATAGAATCCTGATAGTACCGTTCGATGACTCGTCGTGCCCTCTCATCACTCTCAGCAATAAGGTTCATCACGGAGTAGATATCCTCCGTTCGACTTCGCAATTGCTCTCCGAAATCGAGCTGATTGAACAGTTGCAGCTTTTTACAGGTTTCCACCAAGGGGTGTTGGCTAAGAGCGATAGTCTTATCCTCATAAAATTCGAAAGAAGACCCAAAGATTACATAGAGCCGAGCCAGTGGGTGTTGCTCATCGGACTTCCAATCTATATCTTTCCAATTCAAATCAATATTCCTCGGCACACGCCGTAGTGAAACCGCCGACTCCCACCACTTGATGAATTGAAGCTGTGCTTGCTTCCCACTGACTGCATGAACACAACCATCGGTTCCCACAGCCAAATGAGCGAGCAAACGATCAGCAACCACGTCGACTGGAACCTCGTCAATGAACAGTTGGGAGATTTTTCCTACTGCCTTCGTTGCAATAGTAGCCATGCCACCGGGGACCAGTGCAATCACAGCGGCAACTACTGTCGATGGGCTCGATAGGGGCACGTTGTACCCAGGACTCGGAAAATCCTGGGCCGGTCCGATGGTAGAAGGACGCACAATAAGCAGCTTGTCTTTGACGCCGTTCCTAGCAAAGCGATCGAGTAGAAGTCGCTCTGTCAGGTTCTTTGCGTATGCATAGGGCCATGGGAAGTCGTGGGCTTCATACACATCGCTAGAACCACTCTCTTGCACTTGTGCCCACTCTTTCACGACATCTTGATGATCGTTGGGATTAGGATCATAGATGTCTTCTTTGATCTCGATTTCAATGCCTTCTCCAGTGGGAGGTAGGTAGGCATTGGAATATGCAGTCGAGACGTAAACAAAGCGATCCAAATTCGGGCAGGTCAGAGCAATGTCTGCCGTCCTTTCACTGGCTCCGGTGATCACTTCTGATAGTCTATCAAGGGGCTTCGAAAGATTTATAGAGGAGGCCGTGTGAATGATGACATTGACTTGCTGTTGAAGTGTGTTCAATTCGTTTTGGGAAAGTCCGAGGTTGGGGGAGAGGATGTCCCCATCCATGACTGTGATGCGATTGGTGCTAAGAAGTTTTTCGACAGTTGCCGATGATAGCGATGCTGTCCATTTTGATTGAAGTTTTCTATAGTTCGGATTGTTAGTTATATTTCTCCCAAGGTTTATAGGTTAAGGTTTGAGGATGAACTAACCCTATACCTCCTCTGCACAGCATATATACACGACTCACGGATGTTTGCGTGAGCAAGCGATATACGACGGCAGTGCCCAGGAAGCCAGTTCCACCCGTGATGAAGATGGTCTTGTCATTGTAGTAGTCCCACATTTTGTACTCGGTATAGGGACTGACATGAAGTCAGATCTCGCACAGAAGCCTGTAGGTGAGCTTCTATTTATGTAGCTTGAGAAATATCCTCATCACTCTGCTTAGATTTAAGGTTTAGGGAGATCTGAAATATGTGAGATGCAAGCCCTTGCATTCTGTATTCCAACAACCACTCTCCTCGACGTGATACATCGTGACTAGACTCGTCAAATTGCGGTGTAAATCAAATCCCAATTACAATATTCCCCTTGTATTTCCCACAGAAATGTCCTTGCTTTGTAACAATGTTGCACAGAGACTCTGCATTGGCCTAAAAGCTGATCATTGTGAGTGGCTTTGGCTTCAGATTCAGCTTCTAATATACTCTTACTCTTAGTAGCCATTTTCTTCATTCAAGGAGGAGAAATTTATTGTCAGGACTTCTTCCTATCATTTATACATCACCAGCACCAGTCCAGTCGGTGAATTTTATTTTCGCCTAGACAATCGCACCGGCACACCTCCAGTCTTTCCTGCATCATATATACCCTCCATAACCAACGTCATCTTAGGAATACAACCGCCCATCACCTTACTCAGCCTCCGCTCAACATCCCCCCGTTGCTCCCCAGCAAGCGGAACGGCATCTATGCGGTGATGCTGTAGTAGCTTGAGTATGACCGCTACAAACTCAACCTGCGCCATCTTTTGCCCCGGACAAACACGCGGGCCATGACTCCACGGAAGGAAGTATCCTTTCGGCGGTTGGTATAGCCATCGTGGGGCCCTATCAGGATTGATCCAGCGAGAGGGCCTGAATGTGGATTCGTCCGGGAGTACTTGGTGATCATCCGCGACCCATGATGGGTCAGAACACCTGTTGATATTGGGCCACACTTCTGGATCAAGATGCAGTGCAATGATGTTAATAGTCACAGCAGAGTTGGCTGGGAGATGAATCACGCCCTTGGAGGTCTTCAACTCTTGTGGTGCATCATTTGTCCTCAACATGCGGATAATCGGTGAGTATAGTCGCAATGTTTCGAACATAACAGCCATGATGCGCGTCACTCGAGGAACAATGGAAGTATACTCTAGGTCTTCTCGCACGTCTGTGGGCACTATGTTGTCGACCTCTTCGAAGAGCCACTCCTGCCATTTGGGATATCGGATAAGCAGCATTATCGCGTGGGAGATAATGTTTGCTGTTGTTTCGAAGCCCGCTGCTGTGAAGAGGCAGAGGTTGCCATTTAGTTCCTCTTCGCTGAGGCTATTATCCGTGTTTCCTTGTTCAGTCGATGCTTGGAGCAGTTGGCTCATTATGTTGCTTCGTCTTAGCGCTGCCTTGTCTTTGAAAGTGCGTTGACGCTCTTTATCGAGTAAGCTTTTGGTATGCCTCGAGAACTCGCGCTTGCTAATTCCTAGCTGCTTCAAATCCTGATGCCCCGGCAACCAGGATGGCCAGTTCAAAAGAATACTGGTTGGGATAACTATCGGCCCAGTAATAGCGCCCATGACCACCTTGGAGGCTTCAATATATGTTGTTTCAAACCCTGGCTCGGGTTTCTCATCATCCTGACTCCTCCATGGAGCCTTCGCACCCATACCTGCTTCGCTTAGCACATGAATTGTGACCCGCCTAATCATATCAAATAACTCATTTGACTCAACAAAGTTCTTCTTCTCGGAAGCAGTGAGAAGAAGCTCATCTAGCATGCCCGTAGTTTGAAGTATAGCCGCATCGAAGACAGTCTTAGAGATGCGCTCGTTGATCACACTCGCGACAACCTTGCGCTGATTTGCCCATCTCGTGCCATTTGTAGTGAACACATTATGTCCAAACTGAGCGAAAAGTAGGCCAGTGATAGGTGGAATGTTGAAATCACCTGTACGGTGCAGAACCTCCGAAGCGACGACTGGATCTGCTGTCCAAAGTTCTAGGGTTCCACAAGTGGCAAGAAAGAATGACCTGTCATCGCCCTGCGGGGCTGCATATTCATTAAACGGACGACGCTTCTCATAGAATTCCCAGCCATAGATCACTAGCGTCAGGCGGTTGTAGATCCGCGTGGGGAGATTACGTCGTAGCCATGGACGTAAAGGGACAGATGTCAATAACCAGATGATGTTGTTTTGATTTACCGGGTAGATCAGAAATGGTAGGCCGATACTCCTTGCAGCGTTGATGTTGTGTAACAGCCGGTATGCGAAGGTCGAGATGTACACTAGCACTAGTGTACCGATGATACCGATGTACACGGGCATTTTCTGGATTGAGACGATGCGAGGTCAGCCTAACAGAGATAACGTAAAAAAAAAGTGAGGATTCGACACTAAAAGACGTACTTTTGGTAAAATGCATGAGCGCTTAGAGGTGAAAATACTTGGATTATGAGCGACAACTTCACATAGGTCTGTTTGATGCAAGCTACCAGCTAAAATATATTGTCAGAAGGCGGAATAATATGGATCACTATGCAACATATTTTTCAAGATGTGGAATATATATTATCTTCAGCGTGAGCGGGGCATTTCCTTGGTCAAAATGGATATCAAGTTGAAACTATGTGATGTCGGAAGATATTCTGTATTTTGTCCAGATGGAGCCTGTTATACGACCTAAATTATCACATATTTTATATCATACTAGTAAGAATGAATCATGGTTTCGTTCTAGGGCTTCTATCTACATAAGGCCTCTCAAGGTTCTGTAACAACCGAGTCTAACATTATCAGAAATTGGAACGTCGATTCCAACCTTGGGATGTCATTTATTTCAGTCAACTGAGATACCATAAACCCTGAATCAGTCATGATTTCAAACAAAGCCCATGCTATCATGTTGACCACATTGGACATTGGCCCGACTATAGCCACCAGACGACAGTCTGTGAATTCCCGAGAGACTCGCAGAGGAAAGCGGGCCATCTGAACAGTGCTGTTGCCTCTTGAGTCTCCTTCTAATTATAGTGCTTATTTTGTACGCATTGGTTGATCTTTCCTCGGACAAATTTCCGCGATGAAATGAGTTTGGGTTGTATCAGCCACGGAATTGTATGGTGCGAGACCTCACTTTTGAACGAGCAATCTGCACGAGGAACAATAGTTTAGATAAGTGACTAACAAGGACGGGTATCTTTTCAGGCCAATACTAACCGGAGGTTATTCCGAACTTTCTCATGTTCAAAGTATCGGGATTGTTAACTTTTCGCCAACTGGCGCAAGGTCCATCAAGGCCCAACGGGATTATGGAATACGGAAAAGCGTAGGTGACGCATGCCCGTAAACAGTATAATACTAGCTGAGTCTAACAGATAAATCAAGTGCGTCTTCATTCCAAATCTTCGGGGTTTGTATCGGCAAGTGTTGGGTTGCACTGGCGTGCTTTTGTGCCAGTCAACAGACACAGCTGACTGGACTGTTCTCCGCGTACGATAGTGAGGAAATGTACCAGTTGGAACCCTTCGTTAAAACTTGCAATGCCGTATATATACCCAATAAAAGGGGCTTAACATAAACCAATAGATAGGGAAGAAGGAGAGGGGATTGACACTTTTGAGGATAAACTAGGACAAGTTACGTAGCTCCCGGGTAAGGATACATATGTAGTAACTCTTGCCCTCGCCGAATATTGCTATCTCTGCGGGATAATAGAATAGTTTATGATGGTTTGGCCGAATATGAGATTCTTACGTCTCAATTTAGACATCCTTGGAGTCATGACGATGCTTTTCGCAAAATGGTCAGCCAGGTACGTTTTCACCTAGCTTCGGAGTTTCTTATGTTTTGTTCGAACTATATATTCGACGTCTTGGATTCCCATCACTTGGCTTTGCTAGTATAGAAAATAAATCTTAGTATGACGCGATGGCAACTGCACTATTCTGCCTATTTTTACTAATAGCTGCTGGTCTTTATGGATTAGGCCGAGCTGTATACAATGTCTTATTCCACCCACTGCGAAACTTCCCAGGGCCTTGGATGGCTGGGGCCACGTCAAGTTGGAAAGCATACAAGGAAGTTATCAAGCAAGAGTCGGCCGTTCATGAGCTCTTTCATCTCCATAAGAAATATGGTATGATGCGATTGGGACTATGAGACATTTTCTTTAACATTCCTAATAGGTGATATTGTCCGCGTTGCCCCGAACGAGGTGAGTTGTCATAGACTGAGAAGTCTGCACTTCCCTCTCTGGGATATAGGGCTCAAACAAGTCTAACACTAACCTATCACAGCTCCATTTCGGAAGCCCAGGTGCGTTCCACGATATCTACCATAGCAGCAAGAGGTGGGACAAGGATACGGGTCTTTACCGAACCCCCGGAGTTTCGTCCGGGTCATTCACATTCTTGAAGTATGCCCAGGCAAAAGAACGGCGGGAGGTGATTCTTCCGATTTTCTCTAAGAAAGCCATTAATAACCTTGAGCATCTCGTCTGGCGAAATGTGAGTACTATATTGCTTTATTTCTTTTTGCTACCAAACTATATATCTTAACCACCGCTAAATTACGGGTTGTTAAACAGGCAAATCGCCTTGCATCGTCTATCGCCAAAACCAATGCATCAAAAAATTCAATCGACCTACTCTATGCATTCCGATCCTATACTCTAGACACCATCATGTGCTTCACATTTGGCAACTGCATAAATGCCCTCGATGCGCCGGCGTTTAGCGACCCTCTGATTCTAGCAATGGATGCAAGCCTTCGTATGCTGCCTTTGATGAAAAACTTTCCCATGATTCGAGACCTCATTTTTGCTGTACCACCGGCCCTGGTTATGCGCCTTATTCCCAATGCCCAGAAACTAGCACCACGACTCTACCAGGTCCGGGATCTCGTCCAGCAACAGCTTCAAGTCGTCTTAAACTGCCCTTCAAAGCTCGATAACGTGCCTCACGAGACCCTCTTCCACCGCATGCTCGACCCGGAGTCATACCGGAGCAAGGAGGTCCTGAATATGACAGAGCTACACGATGAAGGATTCACACTCATCTTCGCGGGCGCCAACACAGTAGCCGACACGCTGCTAATGGGCCACTGGCACGCAATGCAGAACCAGACCTTGCTAACTCAACTGCGAAGCGAGCTATTGACTGTCTGGCCAGAGGTCAAAAATCAGCCGTCCCTAACAGACCTCGAGACCCTACCCCTCCTCACTGCAACCATCAAAGAATCCCTCCGCTTTATTCCGTCCGGCGTATCACTAACGCGCGTCGTACCACCAGGTGGCGCCATGATATCAGGGAAGCATATCCCCGGTGGGACGGTAGTGGGGATGGCGATTTTGCACGTGCATCAGAGCGCAGAAGTATGGGGTAATGATGCGCTTGTGTTCCGACCTGAACGGTGGTTAGAGAATGCGGAGCAAGCAAATGCCCGGAACGGGAAGAGTGAATTGGATCACTGGCTCGTGCCGTTTAGTCGAGGACCGCGCATGTGCTTTGGTATGAACTTGGCCTGGGCGGAGATGTATATCGCTTTTGCGACTATGATTCGCCACTTTGATTTGACTATTGACGGCACGACAGAAGAGGATATGCAGTGGCGGGAGTGCATTGCGGCTTATTATCCTAATAGGCACTTGCATGCGTGGTGCCGTCCGGTTGGGTCTTACAATGTGATATAAAGAGGTGGATGGTGTTTATATAGCTTTCTAGTGTGACACAGGTTTCAGTGTCCCCAGGCAAGCAGGGGTTATGATCAGGAGCCAGGAAATAGGAAACCACACCTGGGAGATAGGTACTTTCATGCAGTGTTGACAATAAATACAATTTTGCATACACGAAGGACACATTTGCACGGGACATATCCTGGAACTGTGCTTCAACGGCTTGGACCACCTGACCCTTTAAGAACCAGCCCTGCAAGTCAAACTCGTAAGCAAACATGTCAACGCTATACCATCGAGGATATTTACTCTGTGCCTTCCTATCTACGAGCCATAGTATCGTCATAGCTAGGCATTCTGTGATATCATGTGACTTTGTGGTCCTTCATTTATCTCCATTGGTCTCCCATGATTTCTCTTCTCTGGCCCCTTCTCTGTATTACAAGTCTTTACTCTAGGCTTTGTCCGAGAAGGCTGCATCACGCTCGAGGACACCCTTGATCAAGTTCTTTTTCATGCCGTAACTCCATCTCATGTGAGGAATCCAGGCATCGTGCCTCAAGATGATAGCACACCTCGCAGATATCGAAGTCAGCTCCATTACAAATGGTGCAATCGTAGAAAGCCTCACCCTTCAATATACCAACCCCACAAATATCACAATCTACTTCCACCTCCAGTTGAGAAGTCGCTCCAACCACTGACTCAAGTGTCACTTGAGAGCTTGTCTCGGAAAATGTCTCCAGGGCTTTCACGACATCAAATCTCTTTCGCACAACAGCGTCAGATAGTGGTGTGCGACTGAACTCATCTTGAGCCTCACGATCAACACCATCGGTTTTAAGAAGTGTAAGAACTGATTGTAAATGACCGCGGGTTGCAGCAACATGTAGAGGTGTTCGACCATATTGATCGGGGTGGTGAATGCCCCTGATATTAGTCGAAGTAAAAAGAACAGCGAGATTCTTATATCTGTTCTCCGAGGCTGCATAGAAAACCACACCACGACTAGCATTGTCTTTGGTGTTGATATCAGCACCCTTCTCTAGGAGGAGCCGAATCACTGATTCTGTACTCCAACGCATTGCCGCATGACTCAGTGCAGTTAGACCCCTGCTGTCTTTGATCTCCAAATCAACACCCCACTCTAACAAGAGTCGTACTACTGACGCATTGGCTGATGCTGATGCGTGCATAAGTGGAGTGAAATTTTGGAGGTGGAAGTTATTGGGGTCAGCACCCCTGTCCAGGAGAAATTGAACTATAGCATCATGCCCTCTCCGCGCCGCCGCTGTCATTGAGATGTCCAATTCAATACCTGGGGTCTCAGTATCGCGATCCCAGTCAATGAAAAGCTGCACCAGATTTAAATGACCGAGTGAAGCTGCCAGGAATAATGGAGTGTGGCCATCGTCATCTTCTGCGTGTGCGGAAAGTCCTTGCTTCAAAAGAAGGCGGGCAACCTCCTTTGACCCACTCCTAGCTGAAGCATGAAGTAGTGGTCGACCCTCATTATCATTATACAGCATATCGCCGTTTCCTTCGAGTAGTAACTGAAGTGCTCGTTCATGACCCCACCTGGCTGCAAAAAACAGAGGTGTCATGCCTCGGTTGTCTTTGATGTTAGGATTTGCGCCATTTGCTAGAAGTAATGTGATAATATCGAGGTGGTTTCGTTGTGTTGCCCATGACAAAGGGGTCATTCCAGTAGCATCCACGCAGTCCACTGAACCACCAGCTGAAATTAACTTCCGGGTCACATCAAGCAAGTCAAAGTAAGCCGCAAGATGCATAGCTGTAGCAAGCTGCGTGGTGGTTGGTAAATAGTCTCTATTTCTAAAACGGACCTCGTATGGGGGGAGCTGGCGATCAACATTGTCCATGATCTGCACACAGGAGCTGACTTTCGGTCCGTCTAGCAGCAGTTCAATGATTGCTTCTTCGCTGATATATTGCTCTCCGTCTGATTCGCGCTCTCGGATGTGATAACCCCAGAAATGAGCCGCATAAACCCCAAAAGGATGGTGATCTACGCGCGATATAAGCTCCTCTCTTGTTCGACAATGTCCTGTTTTGAAAATATCCAATGACAGATAAGCCACGCAGATGCTGCCAATATAACAGTTTGCATTTGGGAACCAAGTTGATTGATTGCGCTCAAAGAATTCCTGGGTTGTATAATGCACCAGTCGGATGACATTGCTTTGTTCATCGATTGTCACTAAGCCGGCACAGACAGAGACCATGTCAATTAGATCGGGGAGATTATCTTCATCAAAATCCGACTCGTTTATTTCAACCGCTAGCGCACTTTGTAGCTCTGCCGTAGTGAGAGGTCTCTTGGCACAAGTGATCCATGCGAGGACTTGCATGGCCATTTCTGTTTGATCAGACATTTGTCCCTCAATTCGTTTCATTGCATCGTGATATGCGGAATCGTATTGCTTTGGACTTGAGAATATGTCTTTTAGTGCGGATCTGATTGCTTTGGGTGATCTTTTTCCGACCAAAGAGTTGAGGTAAAGCTGGGCGAGTAGGAACCTAGGGTCCTATATTAGAGAACTGCAAATAACTTGCGAGTCTTTTTTTTTTGGGAGCAAGCGAGAAGTATTCACTCACATTCCATCAACAGCTCTGGTTATCTCCGTTGAAATCTCTATTTGCAAATCCGGATTTCGTGTAACAAATGCTGGGAGAATTTCCAAGTTTCCCTGAAGATATCGCATGACATCTGCCGTGCTAGCACGGATCTCAACTGTTGGCTTTTCTTTGAACATTTGAGTTATTTCAAGAATAACCCGGGAGGTAGCGAGGAGATTTATGTTGCAAGCATCTTGAAGTTCGAAGATCGCATGCAAGAATTTTGTTCGCGATCCATCATCCACCCGACACTCATCCAAAGCGTCAATTACAATGTAAACCTTTGCAAATTCGCTTCGCTGTGATAGTAGCTGGATGGTCTTGCATAATTCACCCATTGCTGGTCTTGTTCCTTTCGCCACACATTTAGCATACATCTCTTGGATGCTACTAGGCAACGGTGACTGTGACTGCGCCAATTGTTTCAAAATGCTTGACAACATTTCAACAGCGCTTTGTTCATCGTGCCGCTTGAAATTGCAGTAGAGATATGCAATAGCAATATCCTCACTTCCATTTCCAAATCGATCGTGGAGCTCGTCAATCACGATGGACGCTATAATTGTTTTACCGGCACCTGGCATACCAGGACAAAAAAGCGTTTGCTTTGAACCAGAGATCCAATCTTTGAACTCAGATGAATCCAAGAACCACTGCCCAGTACCTTCCTCGCGTCGACCAATGCAATCACTTTGCTGAGTGGCATAGTTTGAGGGGGAGATCCAATTAAGGACTTTCTGGCGCGCTTCCTCGTCTTGATGCTGCACCAGTTTTTCCATGCCTCGTCTAGTTATCTGTCCATTAAATACAGTCAGAAGTGCGATGTTAGTACCTATTCTAAGGCGGAGTTCTTGGACATCGCTTGGTTCCCATTTCAGGCGTTTCCACACCCGCTTCGCGATGTTTCGTTTGCCATCATTTGTTGTGGACAGCTCCGCGTAGTCCTCAATTCTCTTCAAAACATCGGCAAGGACCTCGTTGCAACCCGTTAATATATCTTTTAGATCAGCCTGTTGCTGACTGCTAAGTTCCTTTGCGGATATATCGATCTCTACATCTTGTAGTATGAGAGAGAGGCTTCTGACTCTGTTAACGATTTTTGTTAGTACACCAGGTATAATGAATTGAGCTAGGTAAATTCAAATTTAGGAGAGGCCTACTCATCGGAAATGCTCTTAAATTGAACAGGTGCATCAACAAACGCTTTTCGAGTTTTGTTGGCGAGTTGAATAACTGCGAGGAAGTCCCCGATACCAAACCCAAAGCTCATATTAGCAATGAATAGCGAGATCAAGAAGGGCTAGTTGGGAAGGTTGGGTGAAATTGGGGAGCTCAGAAGTGAAAATAAGCTGTTGGATATGCAAGAGAAAGCTCAGCCTCACTTGAAGGTGGGGTTGGGTTGACACGCAGCCCATAACCCCCACACTATCGATTGGCCCCTTTTTGGGTGAAATAACGTCCAAGGACAGTGATTTATGGAAATCAGAGCATGTTTGGTTTGAAGTATAAAAAAAAAAACAAGGCATTCTATGCGACTCTGCCCGACGGGTAGATTTGCGGAAATGACCGAGTAAGACAAATTATCGGAGTTTGCGCCGCAATATATTTATGTGTAGGTTAGAAAGGTGACTTTGGTTGAGAAATGTATTACGATACAATACTAGGGAGTAGAAGAACCTTCCATGTCATGGGTTTTCGTTCATGTCTCTGTAGAAAGTCATATCTAGGTGTCTATAAAAGACACCCACCCAACCTGTCAAGCCAATATTCTTCCACCTTAGACACCCATCCTCATCATGTCACCATCCGATGAACATTCTTGGCCCATGGTCCCATGGCCCCGGGTCATATTTCTTTCATAACATCATCATGAGTAATGCGGAGTTTGGGTGATCACGGAAGAGGCTCTTCTGATCTGGACAACCTAACCATACCAGGTGCTAAAATTGAAATCCAATTTGAGAGCTGGGTCGATTATGGGAAGTTCAGATGCACCAGTGGCAGTCAAATCTGTCGCTTGGTTGCAATTCGCCGCTATCCACTGTTCAACGGCGTGGTAGTCACGATAATATGGGGCACCCATACCAATAAGTGGTTCTGCCATGATGAGTAGCGTTGGAAATTGAGGAAAGTCGAAAGATAATCCCTTTGTGGTAAAACTGATATCGATGATCTCAGATACTAGAAGCCAGGGATAGCAAGAATGGTAGTCAGATACGCGGCGACCTTCACGAGCTGATGGACAGAGCCATTTACGTGCAGAAAGATATAATAGCAAGAAGAGTGCAAATATTCTAACAGCACATATTACCATGGGTTGTCTAACATAACCCATGGGGACAAAGAGAGCACTGACAAACACAACTTCCGTGCAACCATGGATTCATTCATAGTACCCCGGGAAAAGAATGTGAAAGCGATGAATAATTCACAAGTCAACTTATACAGTAACTCTGTTAGCCTTCAAATACTCATAGTCTGGCATGGAATCTCTAGTAGACTTCTCAAGCAGCTCGGCAATTTCATCTCCAAACTCAACACGCCACTTAACAACCTCCGCATCAATATCAACTGAGGCCGGAGCCTTATTCTTAACCACACCTGTCGACTCCTCCAAAGTCGAGTACATGATAGAAGCAACAATTTTATCCGACTCCGGCGCCTCAGCATTGGCTGTGTTCGCACCATTCCCCCAGTTCTCAGATGACCTCGCAGAGTCATTCCACTCAAACTGCAAGGAAGCGGGATCCAGACCAACCTTCTCACAGAACTTAGCCACAGCACCGGGGTTATGAATCACATCATTGGCATCGATAACCAAAGGCGTGACAGACTCATCCGGCTGCTCAAGACACCAGTCGAACAGCTTCCGCGTCCATTTCATGGACACGTTCGTGGTTGTTACTCCCTTAATACCGTCATCGTCAAACATACGAACTTTGGACATTTTCTGCAAAGCGCGGTAGAATGATGGATAAACTAGTGCCGGGTGACGGATGATGAAGGCCACCTGCCAGGTGCGCAGGTACTCATCCGACATGAAGGTTTTGTTATTGGCAGAGAAAGTTTGCGAGGAGCCGTATCGTTCCGGAATGGATACTTGGAACTCTTTCAGTTGCTCGGGTCCGGGGGTTGGGGCACCATCAACGGCGCCCGTGAGGAATGCCGGGTTGACGAACCAGAAGGAGTGTTCTTTGGCAAACATGATCTTCTTCTCGGCGCAGGCCCGGTTGGAGCAGTCTTCTAGTTTGTTGAAGCACTGTTGGATGAGGGCTTTGACCTCACTCTTCTGTTCTGTTGTCCATTGGTCTAGCGGCTTTTCGGTCCAATTGTCCCTTGCGGATCTTATAAAGGCATCATAGAAGAAGTAGCCTCCCTTCGGGTTGGTGAGGACATTGGGTTGGTTTTGGATGTTGAGAATCTTCAAGAGGAGATTTGAGGCCGTACGAGGTACACTGACGAGGAGGACTCGGTGGGGTCGGTCATTGTTTTCAGGGGCAATGGTAGTGATAGCCATTCTTCTTGCTAGAGGTGATATGTATAGAATATGGTGGCTGAATGATAATTAAGCTTAACTTCCAACAAGGCAATGAACGTGAGAAGAGATGGCTACATTATGGGGTCGGATGGCGTCTTCTCTCTTAAATAGAAGCGAGTTTCTCGTTCAAGGGCAAGATCAGCGCTTTGCTTTGATCTAACCATTCCCTGGCCCCTTCTTTCTGCATCCAAGTGGGTCAAATCATAACATCCACGTCATATTTGTAAATTCCGACGGGGGCCGGGAGGTTGCTCCTATCGGTCTTTGTCGCTGTTTACCAACACCGAAGACCGAGGAGTGATCAACAGTGAATTTCTATATTTGATCGGCAACCGACTGCTTTAGGAAACATCAATGGTACAAGTATGCAGGCGTGGGGACTGATTTTGGCCTGGCTCTCGACCGCTTGTTACATATAAGTTGACATGTCATATTCAGCGCATAACCTTGGAGATACCCCGCTTGTCCTAGGTTGAGTACATGAGGACTCTTCTTCTTCTTCTTCCCCTGGCACTGCATAGATGTTCGCTTTCCTGAGGGGCAAGTGAGGCCTTTTGTCGTCGTAGCCTTGCTCATTATGATGTGAAAGGGACGTGCCCAGCAAACTGTTTCTCTTATAGGTCGGGTGCTCGAATTGTAATATCGATATAGAAGATTATTATACGTATTGAATGAAGGTGGGGTATGAAGAGTGGAGCAGCAAAAGTGGGCAAAATTGGAGATATTTATGATTATTAGGGCTGGCTTGACGGCCCTGGTGTCATGAAGGCCAACCCGAGGACAAGCAGAGCGATAATATCGAGACTGAATAAAGTACATGAACCGTCAATCACCTGGTGTCTCTGACTTCCAAGGGTATTCCGCAGAGACACTAAGCCAATAATGTAAGACATACTTTGGCAAGACAGATATGTTAAGGGAAACTACATTGTATACTCAACGTACCCCTGTTTCACCTAGGAGCAAAATCAGAATCACCGCTCTCCTCCTCAGCCTTGGCAAGAGTCTGCTCCCTCGTAAGTGTCGGGTTACGAATAACCAGAGCGAAGGCAATCAAAGGAACCGTCAAGCAGATACCCGTGATACACAGCAGACGCTGTGTCTTCTGATAGGCGAGAATAACGTTGTCTCGGTCGGGCGTACCCACAGGGTTGGCCGCTGCAAACACAAGAGGCTGGGCATAGACATACGCAGCGAGGGTTTCGTTACCGAGTCTGTAACTCAGTTCAGAAGGCAAGACTTGGTTCCAGATTGCGCCGGAGATTGTATTTCCAAGTGCACTACCGACATTGTAGGCGGCGAGGTAGAGACCAGTGATCACAGCGAGATCTATGGGATTGTTAGCACTCGGGTTCTTCGTTTAATAGGACAAAGTCTGTTAAGTAATACTAACTTTCGTGCTTAGACGCAACCTGGATACTGGCTTGAGCCGGGTAAGGGAACATTCCACCAGCTGGTAGTTTTGTTAGATGTGTTCAACCAACTCTGGGGCGCAGACGATAACTTACCAATACCTAGCAGAATTTGCGCACCAATGACACCGGAGTGACTGGAGCTCCCAACACCACCTCGGAAATAGATGAGGATTCCGAAGGCAACCATGAAGAGGAGGGTTCCGGCCACGATGAAAGGCTTCAATTGGCGAACCTTCATGACGATGAGGCCGAGAATAACACCTGTGATAACGGAAACGAAACTGTAAAGAGATGTGATCCGAGTGGCGCTGAGGATTGATTCATCAAAGCTCACGTAGAGCACCGTGTAAAGGAAATCTCCTTGCAGGTACCACGCTAAGATAATGTTAAATCTCAACCATGGATGGTATTCTGAAGAACGTACCAGTGTTGAGCATAATAGGGATGCCAAGGGCGCCCCAAACAGCACGGTCTTGGAGAAGCTAGAACCAAAGCGAGTCAGTAAAATCCGGGGATGTGGCTTTGAATGTTTGACTTACCTTGAATGGCACCATTGGGTATTGGCAGTTCTTCTCCCAGAAAATCCAGACTGGGATCAGCAAAACACCAATGACAAGTGGTGCAATTACCTTTGCTGTCTTCCACTGTGAAGTTACACCTCCAGCGAGGGTGAAGGGAACAAGAATACATGCCATCATGCCAATCAACAAAATGTTACCAACGATATCCAGATGCCAGAACAGTTCTACAGCCAGCTGTCTTTTTCCAAGTAACTGCATAGAGCTCTTGTATGATTCAAGTGCCCCAGCCTTCCTCGCACGTCGCTGGACGATGAAAAGGACGGCAATGAGCGGGAGAGCGCACACGGGATAGATGATAGCAAACATGCCGATACCCCATTGCCAGTTGGTGACTTTGAGGACTGCGGTCGTCAAGTTTCCGCTAATCCAAGTATTGATCTAAAGTAGATTCAGTGAATTAATATGTTGTTTTGGTATGCGGAGTAGACGTAGCACTCACAATAAAGGGCAAGGCCGGGACATAGGAGAATAGGAGACGAGATCGGCTAGAGGTCACATCGGCGATTAGGACTTCAACGAGAAGCATAACACTGGTGTATCCAATCTAGACAATATTAGACACGGACTGAGAGTCTATGGGCGCATATTGCAGATCTCACCTGGTAGATAACAGCACCCGCAGCAAAGCCCTCCAAACTTGTTGCGCATGACTCCACGATAGTACCCACGGTATAGAAGACGATCGAGACAAGAATAAGTTCTACTCTGCCGAAAACATCTGCAACCTTCGCTGCAGTAGGCTGTGAAGGAAAAGGTCAGCTAGTGGTAAGTTGTTGGTCTCTGGGTTTCCATACTTGTGCAGCAGCAGCGATGACGGCGCGAAGAACATTAATGGTCGCAAGAAGACTGTGTAGGCCGTAACTCTGAGTAGCATAGGGCTATCCAAAACATTCCATGTCAGTATGCTTCGTTCTCGTCGATATGTCTTTGATGTCGGAAATGCGAAATACGTACCTGGTATGTGTAACGAACAGTTCCATCCAAGCCGTATACATAAGCGATCAAGAAAATGGCAAAGAACAGGCAGATACGATCGGACAATCGGAAGTGCGATGTAATAACTTCAATGCGACGAACACCCGGACTGCCTTGACCCAGCAGATTGGCAGGCTCATCCAGCGGGACGGCTTCGTCGCGGGGATTCTTCGAGTCCCCACTGACGTGGTGATCAACGTTCGTCTCTTTAACGAGCGACATGATAATCGTGCAGAATGATAATCACACGAGTTGGATCACCTATGTAGAGAAGAACAAAAAGAACATAGGAGAAAACAGGAAAAAAGGAAAAGACAGAGAAAATATGATTGCCAAGAGCTGGAAAAGTCTAAGATAAAACTGCCCACTCAATCTTATCTGATGGGCCTGTGACCCAACCTTCCAAGGTTGGAAGTGCCGAGACGCACTAAGAGCGTTTGTCTGAGAAATCAACCACTCACAGAGCTTAGATGACACCCCACCTCGCATTCAGCCGTGGCTCGGAATTATTATTTGACAGAAATCTCGCTCTAGATTTGCCGAGTGTCTTGGAATAATATAATATCTTCCAGGGTACTTTTACATCCGTGGATATTATATCGGATGACTGCCTATTCGACTCCGTACCTCCGGATCGAATGTTGTATTCACAACTGTTTAGTTATACAACCTTGGCAGTGCCCGACATCGGCTTCCATGTCAACAACATATGCTCTTTTCAAACCCTAACCACATGATATGTATACATACCTGCAATCACGGTTTATAGATGGATGTCATTTCCATAAATTAAATAACACCATCCTTCCTCATCCCTTTTACTTTGCCTGCCAGGGTGGGATTCTTCTCTTCTAGAAACTCCACGAAGCTATTCATCATAAGGGTCTTTAGGACATGCTGCTTCTTCCATGGCTCAACCTGACTCGGCACTGTAGGTCCCGTATATACCTTCTTCGGATGTGCCCCCGTCTGCAGCCAGAAATTTTGAAGAACCACAGACTGCAGCGTTAGCATAGGATAGAGCTCGCTCCAGACAAGGTTACCCAGAATGCGCATTCGACCGGGGTATTTGAAGACCTCATACTGGGAGTCTTCATCGGCAATGTCGCCTGCACTTTCACTTCCAGGGGCGCTATCATCGAAGTCTGCATCGACAGCCAGGACATGGCCTTGGAAATCCCCTTTGAGGAAGCCTAGGTCCTTTGTGGAAGAGGCGCGAGGTTCCTCGTCGATATATGAGGCTCCGCCCATATTGTCGAGGAGAAGGAAAACAGATGGTGCTATCTTATGGCTCCACTCGTCCGAGAACCGGATTTCTTGGAAGTGCCTGTGGGCAGCGTTAGTCTCCTGCTCATATGAATATTGCGATGGGAAAGATAAGGGTTGTCATACCTCCTTGCCGACTTCACGGGGTTGAATGTCTCGAAGCCTAGTTCCTTGCAGTCGAACCAATGCAGTTTGAGTAGTGGTTTCATCTCGTCGGCGCCCTGGACGTCATCACCCCATGCCGACAAGTGAGCTTCCAGATCCCGCTTTATGGTTTCCCACTGCTCATCGGAGAACATGTGTGCTGCGCGGTAGATTGCTAATCCGAAGCCATAGTTATGTCTCTCCCACGGTTCCAGGGTCAAGCTCGCCTGGTGCACCCGAAGCAGTTTCTGGATCCAGGGCTGTACAGGTGGCTGCGGAGATGGTGTCCGGCCGCGTATCTTTTCACGCAGTTCATCCTGTACTACCGTGCTAATAGAAAGGCGCTCGCGGCGGGCTGCGTCACCTGTATTCGCGCTTGGACCTTGAACCGTCGCAGCCTCGTTCTGGGCCTGGATACATTTTGCAAGTCGGTCAACTATAAGTTTGGAAAACTCGTAGTTCTCTCCTTGCTTTTTTAGGTCCGGATTGTGTAGCCCAGCGATGATCTCGGTGGGCGGATGGTAGTCGTTATACCCATCCATGGACAGCCAAATTTTGAAATCTGCCATGGTAGTGACAGCAATGAGGTCGGTCCACCGCTGTGATACAACCTTCATTTCTGGGGCATCTGGATTTTCACCGGGGATTGCACCGAAGCTGTCCAATGCCTGTTCACGTAGTTCGGCAACGCGAGCCAGGACCCAGGAATGGGCGGTACTGGTCATGACTTCGTACTGTGCGCGAATGAATTGTTCCCAAAGAGAAGTAAGGTTAAGCTCGGGAGAAAGGCCACCCTGGGCCTTGCGCCGTGCATTCAAGGCCTCCTGGACTTGTCCCAATTCGCCAGATACTCCGTTGAAGGTATCGCGCATGTTAGTACGGATCTGAGGAATATTTAGGTACTCAAAGACGGCAATCACGGAAGTCAGGTACTCATGGGCGATCGTGAAATGATCCGGATTGTTAAGATCTTTTTCCTGCCACCGCGATGCGGGGACGGGGGCAAGTCCTCCCCAGAGGCGACTTTTGACAAACTGGATATTCTCCCCAATTCGGCAAAGCCCCTTCAAATCCTCCCGGTCCGTGATCTGCTTCATCGCCTTCTCCACGGTTGAGAGAGTGGCCGTGTTGAACGGCGCAGGCGCCCACTCTGAGCTCGGAGCCATGAATAGTGAGAATTCATCTTCATTGAGTAAAACTAAGTCGGTCTTCTTCCCGTTCGGTAGAATACCATTTGCCAAGAATTCGATAAAATGCAAGATAGCTTGAGGTTCAATCAAGGAATCCACTAGTTTTGTTAGCGAGGTGACAACTGCGCAGTGACAAGTAGGACCGTACCAACTGGTGAGTCCTGGCTCACCCAATGTTGCTTCGTGGTGCTGGATCCTTCATAAGTGGTAACGTCGACGAGGGAAGCATTTGGTTGGACTGGTGAGTCGGAATGTGTATGGAGGTATCGTGCCACCTTGGCCAGTGTTACGCGGGAGGACCAAGGCGCGAGGTTCCGGGTAGTGCGATGTGCCACCAAGCCAGTACGGGCACTAGCGCTCGCAACGCGTGTTGTCGCGCGGGAAGATAACCCCACGAAAACACGGCGGTTAACCTGTGGCAGGCTTCGGCAAATCCTGGCCGCCATGCTGCGTTGTATGGATATGATCAGCAGTCTTGAGGATGGATGGCGATTGCAGGAGATAAGCTCGAGCACCCTGTAGCCCCTTTTAATCAGCCGCAAAAAAACCAAACTTGGTGCTAGCCGATCAAAGTTAGCCCACTTGGTCTAATTCCTGGAGCGCGATCTGGCTACGATATTAATTTCATGGTCCTTTCTTGTCCGGCATATTATCGACCAGAAAGTGATTAGATCTTGTTGGGATGATCTGATCTCCCATTGTTTGCTAGATTTGGGCTATAAATATCCCGCTCCCCATATGTTGAATATCAAGATTTCTTCGTCTGCCTCCTCCCTGGTAGTAGCCTCAGATATATATCATCATCGAGTATACCCTTGTGACTTGTGACTAGCATTCGCTTGGTGATCAGTATTAATATATCCGTATACGGAGTAGTGTTTCGGCTCTTGTCCGTTTGAACCAGTCCAAACCAAAACGTGATCTAAAAAGCACGAGTTACCATATTCGGGAATAGGAGAACCCCTAAAGGACCCTTATGGAGCAGAGCGATCGAGGTACTTCAGCGGGCCCGTTGACCCTTATTACATAAGCATATTGACCCTCCAGGGCTTCCAAGGTTGTGGGCACATGGCTGCATCCACTCAATCTTGGCACTTACTGATGAACTGTACTTGTGCACTTCCAAAGTTATTTGACCATATGCAAATCCTTTTATCCAGAACTTAACCATGCTATCTACCAGCCCGTACGACTAAGGCGGATGGATAATGCTCGCATTTCGCCAATAAATTCAAATTCAAAAATGGAGCTATCAATAGAAGTTGTTCCATACCCTCTCACTATACCGAAATATGAGGTCTGTCCCTCTGAAAACTTGACCTTCTATCATCGATTCCCCTTCCACACCGGTGCCGACCCTCGCCCAGAAAACGAACACGCTGCCAATACAACCGCTGCAATTTAAAGTCCCGCGCCTACTCAGAGCAACCATTCTTCCCACTCCCAGTCGTCGGATCTCTCTCAATGATTATGACGCATATGCTTATAACCCCAATCCTTCTTTGTATGATATGAACCACCTTCTCCGCCACCTATCTTCACGGATTATGATTATTATGATTAGGTATACGGCGACTAATTCAGCGAACTACGATATTATTTGTATCCTTTCCACGGTGCCTAGTTGTTTACCTATCCTATATTCTATTCTAAATATTTACCAATCATAAGGTTGAACTTGACACTGATGGCCTGGCGACACAAGGTCTTCTTTTAACCTTAACCTGTAGTTATACATTCACACTCTTACAACTTGTTTTTCCAGATTATTAGCTACCAACTCCAAATAATGCCTGTTCTACAAATGAACAGACTATAAATCGTATTGTAGGGTGTTTGAGCTTATGCGCGAGAAAAGAATATATGAGGCGAAGTTGGACTACTGCATTAAGACTGCGCTATAATCATTGGCTGAAGATTGTATAAATCTGTCCCTTTATTTGAAAACATGTATCATTATCAAAGTCGTGACCTGAAGGAAGTCTGTGGTCCAGCCACCGAGGGCAAGCTATCCTGGTTGAGACGATTCATCTGGGGATCATAAAGCGACTCTGCCTGAACAGTTGCCCTGATGCGCTTTCCGAAATACTCGATCTCCACCGATTCGCCTTCGCTCATACCACCAGGAAGCCAGGCGTAGGCAATTGGCTTGCCAATCGTGTACCCAAATGCAGCGGTGGTTACATAGCCAACCGCTTTGCCATTGTAGAAAACAGGCTCCTTGCCAAGAATCATCGAGCGACCATCATCAACTGTCAAAGCCCGAAGTCGGCGCGTAGGTGCCTGGCTAGAAAGGCGTTGGAGGGCAGTTTTGCCGACGAAGTCGTCTTTCTTCGTTGCGTCTACGGCGTAGGAAACGCCAGCTTCGAACGGATTGTGCTCTGTCGTCATATCCGCGCCATAGGTCCGGTATCCCTTCTCCAGGCGCATGGAGTTGAATGCACTTCGGCCTGCAGCAATGAGTCCGTGCTGCTTTCCAGCTTGATAAATCGTGTCCCATAGGCGTTGGCCGTTCTCCGCGCTGGTTTGGATTTCCCAGCCTAGTTCACCGACGTAGGATTTCCGGATCATTGTAACTGGGATACCTGCGAGAATTGCTTTCTTTAGGCTGAAATATGGGAGGCCCTTGTTGGAAATGTCGATGGTGCTGATTCCGGCGATAACATCCCGGGCCCGAGGACCCCAGAGTCCGATGCAGCATGTGCTCCCTGTGATATCGCGGACTTGAATCCATTGCCCGGGGATCTTCTCTTCCTGAACTCGAGCTTCTCTGGTAAGATACGCCAGATCGGTTGCTGTGTTGGCTCCAATCTGGAACACATCATCCTCAAGTCGTAGTACAAAGATGTCACCCCGAATGTTTCCATAATCATTCAGGAGAAGTGTATAAGTAACGGTCCCCGGCTTGGTGGTAATATCACTCGTAGTCAAGCGCTGAAGCAGACCGACTGCCCCAGGACCGGACACTTCAAACCTATGGAAAGCAGTCATATCAAACATAGCAACGGCATTCCGCGTCTTCCATGCCTCAGCAGCCGAGATAGGCGAATGAAGCTGTGCCGACCAGGCATCCCGATCGACAGGTTTCCATGATGGTGGGAGAGACTTAACAAGGTCTTTGTTTGCCTCATACCACCACGGCCGCTCCCAGCCTCCAGTCTCGAAGAACACAGCACCCAGCTCGCGCTGGCGGGCGTTGAATGGACTAACACGCAAATTTCTGGGTGAGGATCGCTGCTGGAGCGGGTGAATAATGTCATAGATTTCGACAAAGTTCTGTTTTCCGGTCTCGGTTACGTAGTCTCGATTGAGTTGGACTTCTTCGAAGCGGGATAGCTCGCATTCAGATACGTCGACCTCGGATCGGCCGGTTGTGAGGATTTGTGCGAGGGCTCGGGCGATGCCTGCTGAGTGTGTAACCCATACGGCCTCGGCTACGTAGAAGCCATCGAGGTGGGATGGTTGGCCGAGCAGTGGGCCGCCGTCGGGTGTGAAGGAGAATATTCCGTTGAAGCCGTCCGCGATTTCTGTGTCCTGAAGAGCGGGGAGGAGCTTCTGAGTCTCTTTCCAAGCTGGGTCGAAGTCTTCGGCAGTGAATTCCAGGCGAGAGGGCATGTTCTGCTCATCAACATCTTTGGGTGTGAGGCCCAGTGATGATGCAACAACGGGCATTGGACGATGTCCGTAGTATCCAATGCCGTACTGGTCGCCATGTTCACGGTAGTAAAGGCGCTGATCTTGGTGTCGAAGGATTGGGAGTGAGGCATTCATTCCATTGGGCAAACTGTTAATATCTCTCCCAGCGAGAGCGGGGACTGTCGTGGTCTTTGCATACTGGTGAGCTAGCGGGAGCAAAGGAATATCCACGCCTACCATGGCTCCTAATTCAACACCCCAGAACCCAGCACAAGAGACAACAATATCTGCTGGGATAATGCCACTTGGAGTACTGACTCCGGTAATACGACGGCCATCCCGCTCAATTCCCGTCACGGGAGTATGGCCCAGATAACGAACACCGGCCTCGCTTGTCCGTTCAATGAGAAGCTGTGTTGCTCGGGCTGCTAGTGCGAGGCCATCAGTGGGGATGTGCAGACCGCCCAGCACCATCTCATTGTTCAGATGAGGATACATCTTGAAGCACTCCTCAGCGCTGACTAGCCGGGCATCGATGCCCCATGAGGAGGCGTATCCATGTTTCCGCTTCAAATCCTCCAGTCGTGCGGGGGTGGTTGCTACTTCGAGACCGCCCACTTGATTGAAGCATTTGTGTCCATCCTTCTCTATCGATAGAAGCTTCTCGACTGTGTATCGCGCGAGGTGTGTCATTGTCTTGGAAGGGCCTGTCTGGAATACGAGCCCGGGGGCATGTGACGTCGATCCACCCGGCATGTGCAACGGGCCCTGCTCGACAACAGTGATATTGTTCCATCCTCGAGAGACCAGCTCGTCGGCGAGGTTGGTACCCACGATACCGGCTCCAATGATGACAACGCGTTGTGAAAGTGACATTATTATATGATTGTTAATATGATACATCCATTAGAAAGCGGCAGACCCTCGTTCTATTTGTATATTCACATAGTTCATGAGTTGTACACTGTGTGACATTCTCGTACACTTGTTCCCATACCCCGCATTGGTGTACGATAATTATGTAGTGTATCTTGAAGCTGAAGATAAAGATATTACGCCCCGCACGGGTTCCGGCGATGTAAAGCCGAGAATGCCAGTAACGAACACGGGTGCCATTTACCAGGAATCGGAATGGAGGGGTATAACTTTGGTTGCCCCACGTTGATATAGATAATGAAGCTCATCAGGTCAATCATAATTGGCAAACCAGCTCGATGTGGCGCTTTTTCGGTTGACAATGGATAACATTTCCTTTTTGGGTCACGGGTCCTAATTTTAGTATGAGGGGGCCCCGTCATAGCTTTCTCACCGTAGTTGGATGTTATTCATAGTTCCTTCTATAGGTTGGGTAGTTATCCAGTTAAAAAAGATGTTATATAGTCCATGGCTATTTTTCCAAGGTTGTGAAGTGGTTGTGAGGGTTGATACGTGCGTCTCAGATGCCAACAGAGCCCGGAGCGGAAAATCGAATATATCCGTGTTATTCTCTCGGAGCGCGCTCGAACGAGACACCAGACACACATATATATATCTATATTCCACCATTCAATGGACTGCTTCGACTTGAATTTATGTTGATGTTACATAGCAGTTGGTACAGCAGCTTCGGTATAAAACACGACGTCTATACGGCAACGAAAAAAAAATGATAGTACAAACAGGCTTGGACGACAAACTATATACATACTGATCTGATCCTCAGGACTAACTCATCTACCGACCTAGTCTTAGAGTGCAGTTGTCACTCCGAGGTGACTATTAGCTTCCGCAACGGGGCTTCCAAGACAAACCCGTGAATCAGATAGAAAACACGTTGGATTTAAGCAACAGTATCCGAGCTTTAGGCCGGGATCTAACACATTTGTATGTGTTTAGATTCGAGCTAGCTACTTGTGGTAAAGAAAACAGCTGATCATGCAATAAATCGTTGGTTATGAAGCATTGTCATTGGCAGCACATTCCAACATAACGGAGGAAAATGATGCAATCGCCATTCTCTGACCTCTGATTGGTCAATATGAAAATGGATACAGGGTTGTTTTCAATGGAGTCGTAGAGTATAGAAATGGGTTGTATATAGTTTCAAATATGAGATATATCGTTTACTTCTCTGTCTACATTCTATGAACCTTTCTAATACCAAATAATATCCCCAAAGAACAATGTAACCTCATACTATGCGGGGCAAAATGTTTGACGTTCGGCTGGAGCCGATCCCCGGGGAACCCAACAGGAAACATTCCCTTCCCTTGGGACTTTCACACTTTCTCAAGACAAACTCCTCAGCTTGAGGACATCCCGCAATGCTATCGCCTACATTCCACGTCCACCTCTCATCATGACCGAGCCTAGTGAAGCCCTTGTTCCTGAGGAACCGCCCAACGCAATCCTGACCGACTCCCGCCCGACAGCCGATACCCGCGATAACGACCGAGAAGCATTAGAGCTCCATTCGATCCAAACGCAAGAAGACAACGATTTGGACTACTCGACCCCATCCGGTTCTTCTGGCGACGAGCATCATGTGCCTACACATAGGACTATCTCCCAGGCGGATTCCCGGCGTAGACGCGAAGCCCGCAGTGGCCTTTGGGGCCACATCTGTCGGTTCTGGACACGACATGTGATTATAACTGTGGCGCAGAAGAGCAATCGAGATCACTTCGGTACGTTGTACCGTGCACACGTTGTTGGCACTCTAATTGACTTCGTCAAAGCCCTGGAAAGGACATTCCTTGCCTACATCCGCACGTCTACAGTTTTCGCTATGCAAGGGGTACTCATTGCGCAGCTTTTTCGTCTCCAACGGCCGTCTCACGCAGTCGATCGCCTATCGTTCTACGAAGTCGGTATCCCTCTTTCGGTTACCTGTCACTTCGTGGCTGTTGTCGTCGCTTTGATAGGAGCGTTCCGGTTCTGGAGGCAACAAAATGCTATTGTCCGCGGGAAAGTATACGCCGGAGGGTGGGAGTTAAATTCGGTGGGAATTTTATTATTTATTGTAAGTCTCCCTAGGACGGTCGCCAGTTTTCGAATACTAACCAACTCCCTACGCTCAGGTCATTTTGGCGAGCTTGGTTCTTATTGTTATCATCTCGATCCAAATCAGCTTGAACCCCAGTGCCTTGCCTTATCGAATATTATGGTCGTGAATTATCGCTCATGGTTCTATTACTCTGGTTAGATATGCATTTACATAGCGAAGCAAAAGTTCTGAGCATTTTATTGAGCATCCATCTTATCGAGCATATGTAATTATGACTTCATGGTATGGCTCCGAGGTTCCCATATTTTAACCTACCTGCCAATCAAATCCGTCTCTTATTTGTGGGGCGCGCTATCATTTCCCCTGAGCATTTCCATCATTAAAGCCAGCTGGGATAGGTATTGTCCAGTAAAGTCGCATGTGGAGCCAGCTGGTCTTCAATACCCACCGGCTATCCCACAGAACCACGTCATAGTTCTGAAGGGTCCGCATATCTCGCACTGACAGATATCAACCCGAACTCGCGCAGTGATGACTCTGGTATATCAATGGTCTTTTATGCCGCTGCTAATTTCTATGCCCTTCGATCTCCCTTGACTTAGGTGGTGGAGATGGACAACAAAGCTGCTATTTGCTCGTCGAAGTAACTGAATAAGACGATGCGAAATGGCCGATTGAAGTCATCGATACGACAACTGAAGCTGGTTGAATGCATGCTCGCTTGTTGCTCGAACAAACCCAGGTAGACAGAAACAGGGCAGGCGGTTGTCACATCAAGTCCAACGTTTAGAGACTAGATAACCTCTTGGGAGTGAAGGGTTATGGGCCAGGAAGTAGGAGAATGGCAAATAAAATGTGAATACAGAAGGAAGAGGGAAAGAGTCAAACCCCAGCGGGACGAGAGCGTATTTAATCAGATGGCTATTGGCTGTCTACTGTTAAACAATTTTCGTTTACTCTCATACATTATCTTCCTTCTCCCCATTTTCGCTTCTCCCCCTTCCTTTCTTCGTTTCTCATTCTCATCCTTTTGACTACTCAGACATCAACTTTCATCGCTATCTTCTACCATGGCTAGGTCTATTCAATCCCCTGTAAGCGAAATACCCTGATTGTTTCGGCATTCCTTACCCTAAAGCCCTCAATCTACAAATCTACCGCTATAACAACTACTTAATTTAAAAATCAAGTGGCATAACCCTACCGCCTGGTTTGATCTTACTATGTCTCGCATCATAATTCGTTCCCTGGCCACGACCTTCACCCTGGGCGCTTCATCCTTGTGCGCGATGCAACTTCCATTTTCTAACAGCCTCTGGTTGTGCCTTTGTCACCTCCCCAAACATATATAACACGGGATATATCAAGCGCATATAGATGCGAACTAACGTATCACAGTTGTTCTGAAAGCACTGCGAGATACATGGACATGGTCTCGTTCATTGTCATCGTCTTTTTGAGGACGTGACTAGCTTTGCCACGACCAATGGCATTGCGACTGGATATCCAACCCAGGGCTTGGTGAGGACTCTACCATACATTAAATGACAGAGCAAAATCCTAATACATAATCTTGGACATATCAGACTTCTGTCATGCAGACCCGCTACCGTGTCGCTCGCTGGGGCAAGAAAAAGAAGCGTATGTTTGATGCAACTATTTCGAGCCAAGGATAATATCCCCACGGCCACAACCTCTATTCCTTACTAAGAGTTGAACCGTATTCATACCTGCCGAGCTACATTGCCATCAGCCAGCCCAAAGTCATGAATGCTTTGGTTATCCCAAATTGCTCTTCCCATCCACAAACATAGTGTGCTAATCCTGTCAAGTTAAGATACTGACATTAAACTAGCTTCGAAGTATGCTTCATTGACCACCACATCGAGATTCCTTGGTGATGGCAACGGCACCTCGTCGATCCCGAGTGCAAATCTAACTCCGAGGCCCAAGCGCTGGCCAACTACTTGGAACAGCATCGACGACACTAGCTATGGTCCCGCCATGTGGAACAACAATAGCGTTACGCAGGTCTTTTCCCAATTTAAACCGGGCGACACAACGATAATCTGCTAGGAAAAGGTAGCAGCTAGATCATGTTACATCATTTCGATGGGCTTCAGCCTCTGACAAGTAGGAAAGAGGTTACGGTGGAATGGATAGCAAAAGTCACTCTATTTTTGGACTGTTGGTGCGCTAGATGATGCAATCGGACACTGTGGATGAGGCATTATTAGTTGCTCCTCAACATGCTTGAATAGTTACCACATCAAGTGCGTAGATGCTACCAACAACTCCAACGGCAAAAACGACGTCATCCCAGCACTGCTTTTTCAAGAAGCACAAGCTCCCTCTCGACTATGGAAATGCCCACTGGGATTCTTCGTCCGTCTCTGGCAGCCGTGACATCACAGACGAATGGGATGTCCACGCCGTTCATGCCTCGGAATACCCCCAATTCTAATCGTAGCCCACAATCTAAATCTCCAGATAATCAATCATATTGAGGGGTGACGATGTTGATAGGCAGTAAATAGGAGACTATGTACATAACTGTGAGAGAGGCTGAGATGCTGGTGAATTGCACCAACATTGAGCCTGCTGGTTGCGGTGCTATGCGGCTGGTCTCTCCGTGAGACATAGCAAGTGCCCTGGCAGCTGAACATCTCTTGAGTGGCCTTAGGCATTTGGTATAAAAGGTTTTATCGTGGCATGAGAATGGAACATATAGCTCTTTATAGAATGGATGTAAGAGTAGCTGCCTAGTATTAAAAGTATTTTAAGAGGATGAGCCATGTTAAAGAGGTAGGCTAATATTGACAGGCGCCAAAGAAAGGATTATGGATAGTCTAACAAACTGTGTCAATCCTTCTGTATTGTGACCAAAAGAGCTGGTTTTACCTGACTGTAGTGCTTCGAGTCAGTAATAACAAACAAATGTTTTGTGAAAGTGAAGAGAGAGTCATTTGGAAGTGAGAGACTGGGAGTTGAAATGGTAAGAGAGAAGGAGCCCAAACACAGTGAGAGATGAGAGGGTCTTGAAGTTCCCAAATCTTCGTCTACTCTCACCATCGTCTCCCCAGCGTTTGCTCTGGTCATAGAACCTCCCCCTCCATCTTCCTTTCCTCATCTCTTCTTCCTTCTCCTACTTCAGTTCAAAATCACAACTCCAATGACGCCACGATCTGCGCGTTCAGCCTTGATTTTGATCTGCAACATTTTCTCATCCTCTCCTTGAGCCATGGCTGACTCCAGCCAGCACCCTGTAAGTAAATAATCTTGTCTGCTTGTTGATTTTTGTGTCTCCATGGACAATATATAGTCTCGGGACTCCTCACCTCAAACATCCATCCTAAAAATTCCCATTTTGCATGCTGTCGATCATATAGCCACACAGGCTAGATAATCTGATGCTTTCACTTGCTGAGCATGGTCTGACACCGCTGCATTATGTTGGGCATTATCTTCCCTTCTCTGAAATCCCTAACCTTCCGCACTCTCGCCTGTTACGAACTTCCCGGCGAGGACCAATACATAAATTCTAACACCCTCCCCTCTGTATCCTCGCCATATACTCAAGCAACTGCAGAACCTCTATCAGGGATAAGCGGATACTAACTAAATTATAATAGGTGTGGTGCAAACACTGCGAAGTGGAAGGGCACTTGGTCACCCACTGTCATGCTCTTTACGAAGACCTGACCAATTTCGATGCAGCTGTTCGAATGTCCCAAGGCCCGGTGAGTACTCTAGCATGAACCCCCATGGCAGAATGAAACATTAACATGAAGCGTTTGACGTAATAGGCCTCTGACCCGAAGAGAGCCTACCATATTGCCCACTGGGGCCAGGGAAAGAAGAAGCAAGGTATGTTCTATGTAATTATTAGAGCCAGCATTCAGCCTCCTTACTCAGCATAGCCTGTGTACCAGTTGAAGCAATTTACTGACGTTTAGTACATAGCCTACGGCCCTGCTGCATTCGATACTGCGCAAGGTGAGGGCTTCAACTACCTAACAATCCCTCCCACTGATCTCGACCCATTGGAGGCCCAAGCTGCGTTAAATTACCTGCACCAACAATGGGTCTATTGGTTGCACTGCCGTGCTGTGTGGTATGAAAACCAAACCGGAGGAAATACCACACTGTGAAGCATACGGGGAGGACCGGCGCCGCAGTCTTTTTTTCGCCATATCTTGATATCTTGAATTGAAAATTTCTCGGTTAAGTTATTCACTATCAAAATCCGTCCTGATGTTAGAGTGGAGCATGCAGAACTTTGTAGACGTAGAAGTAGTAGCCCAGGATAAAGTTTTATAGAGGACGAACCATGCCGAGATATCATATGATATTTATAGGCACTAAATATAGGAATACGTGACTATGGTATAAAATCATAGCTCGGTGTAGACTAACCACTTTGGTATCTCACAACTTCTCGGTGTTATTGTACATGCGTACGTAGTCAATTTCAGGGATACTCCAGTGACCATCCACAGATCAATATGAAGCTTGGTGCTGACGTACCCATGGATTCTCTAAGGCTGATCACAACGTTGATGTTATACCCCACCAAAATTTCGTGCTCGCCACTAACAAGTACATACGTACTCCTTGTCTTATAGATGTAGATCATTTGATGGAATACCTATCGACCCATCGGAATAAAAATACTCCGGGTTCTATCAAACTAATAATAATCGGTAAAACCGCGGGACAAAACTGACGTGTATGAAGTACCTCGGTCTCAGTTCCGAGTAAATCATTCGAAGCCGTTTCAAATAAAACAGCCCCATGCAAGTCCTGTAAGGCCAGATGATCATCCATCAAGCCCCATTTTGATTTCCGACTTTTCCGCCAGATACGGAGTGACCATCAACGATCCTGCCCCTTCGGGCATACGGACCAAGACATCTAAAAACCACGCATCCTTCTCGAAGAAGACACGGTGTTAGATCGGGCGATACCTCACCGAAATACTACATGCTCCATACACTATAGTTACATTATATCAACCCATGTACGGAGTACGTCGTACCTGATTGTAACCCTAGCTGTCCACTCCGAACCAGACCCGGTCCGCTCGCGGAGCAAACTGGATCCGTGCCCGATGTGGAAAGCGGATATAATGGATAATCAGCCCAGCTCAGCTCAACAACCCTGAACCTGAACTTTGAAAATGGGGAACAGGGTTTCGCTAAAACGGCCCAGCCTCCATATGATAATCCACATGTCCACATCGTAGGAACCCACAGTAGAAAATCACGGGGGGCTAGATGGTTCTCGGATTGGCAGACATGACAAGAAAAGATAGGAAGAATCGGAGAAGGGAGGTGGACACATGTCGCATTGCTCACAGACAAACCTATCCAAAAAGCGCCCAAATAAAGTGTGGGACATGGGTATCTCGGCAGTTGGTACGAATGCGAATACTCGGTTAGGGTCTTGGCGCGCATTGGGCCGCCCGGATACCCTTGAAAGGTGTTACTTCACGAGGGTGGGTTCCTTGGCAGTGGTGATCCAGCCTTATTTCTGCTGTTCGGATGGCTTGGCGGCTTTCAGGGGAAATGACATGGTCGTGTCGTTGTGGTTTTTGGTAATACCGTGTTTGGATTCATTACTTTCGTTACTATAGTGGAGTCTGGAGCTGACGGTCTTCTTCGGAGTTAAGACTTTGTCATGCCCCCTTTTTCTTCTTCTGGGGCGAATGTATTGAATTGAATATTCAAGACGAGTCAAAGCTGAGACTTGAGAGGGCTGGGCTTTTAGGCGGGCTGTGTGGCTGACATGGTACTTGGTCCTTGCTCACAAGGTTGATTTTGGGATTGGGAATGTATACAAAGTCATTTGGGTATTGATTTTTATGCTCATATGTACATCCGAATTTATCCACAGTCACCGACAGTCCTCGGCTTGAATGTCTCCATTTCGTAGAGAGAAAAAACCGGAAAAGAGAGGGGCAGGAAAAAAAAAAAAAAAACAACACCAATCATGATCTGAACAAATATGATAAAAATAGGCCAAAAAGAAAGAATCAAATGGTGAATCATAGAAAGAAAATGCAAGATATGAGAAAGTAAATGTAACAGAGTGACATATATAGACACTTGACAGGAAGCTTCCGCCGCCAGGGCATCGCTTCTTAAGAAATCATTTCCATGTCTTTACCACACAACGCACCAAAATTAAGCTGTCGGCATAGGAATGCTAGTCATAGGCAGCGGGGGTGGAGCTTGATCACCCTCCTCGAACATCCACTTCTCCAATTTTTGCGCCATGCGCGCACAGAAGGGGTCAACATAGCCAGTCCACAAAGTGGCGCAGAAGTAGACCAACACGATCCAAGCTGGGATACTAATAGCCACGACCCAAGGGGCGCGAATGGGGATCCAATGCGGGTGAAGAGGTTCGCCGTCCTCGCCGTAGATCGGGTTACCCTTTTCATCGACAATGTCACCGTCCCAAGGCTGGCCGGTGATTCCGTAAAGCATCCAGCACAGAACGGTGCGGAGGAGAGTGCCGTGCACGAGGTAAACGGCGAAACTCTGCTTGCCGAGCCAAAGGAGGAGACGGCTGGAGAGGAATTCCTTGGTGGAGGGTGAGATATAGATGGCGAAAATGATGAGGTCGACGCCCAGGGCGGAGTAGCGTCTACCGACGTTGACCTTCGGGGGAAGAGGTAGTGCGAGGCTTGTTCCATGTAGGTCGACCATGTGGCCCATTCGGGGTGTTCACCGGGGTATGAGCAGATGAAGAGACCGAGGCAGAGAAGGATGCCTGCTACGATCTTGCGGCCCCAGCGGTGGCGTTCGACGAATTCTTTGAAACCATTCTCATATGAGAGATCGCTGAGGAACATGCCGTAGACTGCCTGCATTTGGAAGGTTTCTGTTTCTTCGTTAGTACCAGGGTGGGTGTTATTGAGGCTTGACGTGGAACTTACCAGTGTTTTTAGCAGCGTTCTGGTGAAAGTAGAGGTACATGCCCACGTAGATGGCGACACGGAATCGGAACTTGCAGAACATCGTTGCGCAGATAAGGACGTAAATTAACATCGATGCCTGAAGCAGCGGGAGTAAAGCCCACTGGTGGTCATCGTACGCCATATAGCCCGTGGTCCAAACTTCAAGGAAGGTCTTGAACAGCCGAACGAACTCCTCCCAGAAAGTAGGCGCCAAATCGACGGCTGCGTAACGACACCACCAACAGTCGGAGCGATTAGCGGCAATGAAGGCGCCAAACTGTGCCATGACCCATGAAATGATCAAGGCGATGGTGGCAGGGAAGATGAGGCGAGGTGGGCGGCGGAAGGCACTCTTGCCAACCGATGTAAAGGATCCAAGGATATCGCCATTGCGGGACTGTTTGAGCGGCTTGAGAGCGCAAACGTAGCCAGTCAAGAAGGCGAAGATGGTGACACCCAAACGGCCCTGCCAAGGGATACGGAAGACGGGCCACTGCAGAATTCGGGGAGGGGTGTCAACATCGTCGCGGGGGGCGAAGAGGTCATAATCCCAGGCTCGGGCAAGGTGAGTGAGGATAACTAGGAATGAGGCGATTCCTCGGAGGCCCTATTGCTTGATGTCAGTAACCAGTGAATATCCCTATAAGGCTGATATGCGAACGCACATCAATCCACTTCACACTTTTCCGCGGATCACCTTTCACCGATGGATCTGCGGACTTCCAGGGAATGTTGTCCAATATGCGCGAGTAAATGTGGTTGGGTTGTATGTACTCCATGACGAGTGTTATAACGAATGAATGAGAGACCGAACGAGTCCGATAGGGAGACTCGGGGTTTCTAGTGGGTTGGTTGGAATGGAAAGCCTAAGTCAGACCATAAATATTGAACGTTGAAGCTCTAAAAAAGTGCCAAACCAAAAACCAAAAACAAGACGCTGGTATAAAAAGAAAGGAAGGGACGGATAAGGTTAAGAGAGCCTAGAAATGCGAAATCTCCCCATAGATCGCAGAAAAGTTCAGAAGGAAAAGTGACCAAGATAGGAGAATGGGGTATATGTAAGAGAAATCCGAGTTCATCCCCACGAGTCGAAGATCTTGGCCAGGAAAACGGGTACGAGGCGAATGAGCAACTTGAGCTGGGGAATTTACTTACAACTGTATCGCGTGGGGCTTGGGTGTGGACCCTTTTGAATGAAATACAAGGGCAATACGGAGGACCCATCAAATATATGACGATATGTAAATTATACCTACTATACATGAGATGCATAATTATAGTCCGCTCGTTTATCGTATTCTATTACCTTCTAATTGTAGTAGATGTACAATATAGATGAGAGAACACGTCCAAAGCAGGCACCTACATGTAGCATTATGTGTGTATGTTGTATGTATCAATCCATAGTTACGCCGTCGGGGATGAGCATTGTCCTGCATACTCCGTATCCGGACTCCATACTCCATACAAACAGGTGAAAGGGGTTAACCCAAGTAGCAGATTGAAGCTATCTCCAGCCTTTCACAAATTAAGCTATCTAATAAATGTAGAAGCTGACGACGCTTTGCGCATCAACGCGAACTAGTGTGTAACCGACCAATCAAGGGCTGTTATTTTCCCCATATGAACCATGGGCTAAAGGCCGCCTCAAATTGCGCCAGATCTTGGCATTTTTGGCACGTAGTCCCAGACACTATTTTAATTGGTCAGGGGTCATACTCAACGGCAAATCGGAATTTAGGTTTCGAATTGATTTCCCTTGAAATCCGGTAACATTGGCCTCTTTCCGTACGGAACTAAAAGGGATCGAAGGGGATGGAATTCAAGGAAGTTAACCCCCTATTTCCGCTAAATACGAAACCGAGAACCCTGGGCATGTTCATGGGTACTGCTCTGTATGCTAGAGTATGAACTCTATATGAAGTATCCGTGTTGTATGGGGTATGGACGCGATTCCAACGTTGTACTCGTTATCTAATCCTCGGACTCCGTGACGATCGCCAGGGCCCTCGGGAACTTCCCGATACACTACTCCGTACCATGAACACAGTTTCAGGAATGGTGAACAGGAGACTCTACTCCGTACCAAAAGCACAACATTCCATTTCCTTTGGGAATGTGACACTTGAACTTGATTGATGTTTGAAGCGAAGGAATTTGAAACATGCATCACAACTAGATAATAACAAATTTAGCCAATAGTGCAAAGGCACCTCTTGGCCTCCCACTAAGTGGGATTACTTATTCAGATGCCATGCTGCTCCGTGGACTATTGAAAAAATGGGTCCTTCTGGAATTTCAAGGCGAAATTAATCCAACCTAGTATTTGTTTATTTGCCCTATGACAGTTGATCGTCCAAACCAGTACTCTTATTGTTGTACTCCGTACGGAGTCCATTAACCTCGGTTCTCGACCACATGATAGTACACACAAGCAACATGGACTGGACCTAGCTATTTCAGGTCCCAATCAACTTGTATATACTACATATCTACCATTATGTCTATTATCAGAACAACAAACCAGCGTATTCTCTGTAAGGCTAGGGGGGGATATGACGAACGTGATGCATAGCCAAAAAAAGAAAAGAAAAGAAATTCAAGCCCTATGGGGATCTTCTTCCCGCGCCTCTCAGCACAATGCGTCTTTGTCTGCTCGAATGGGAATTATCTCGCATCTTGGCGACCCATTTATTTGACAAAATGCGAAACTCTGACTTTCAGCCCTGGAGGGATTTATATAGAAAAGATCGTCTTTGTGGTCCAAGGTTACAAGTTCCCCTGCATGGTATTATAATAATAGATGTGCAGGGGTGTACGTGTGTATGTGGTGGCTATCCATATGGGGCTGTCTATAACAATATCCCCGAGTCGGAGATAGGTATTGACGTTTGACATACCTCATACGTATTATTCGGGGTTGAGATGCTCTTTTAGCCACTGTGCACTTTTTCTACTCCAAACTGTTCTAGAGCCGCCAATTCCACCTCGTGTGGACCAATACCCACTTTTTCCCAATTTAAAAAAGATTTAAGGGTCGGGGAATTGATCAGATATGGTTCTCGGTTCTTCATGGTATTGTAATTCAAATGACAATACGGCGTACACCAAACCCAATACACAAGCTTGGCAAAGCCGGGTGGTGGCGGGCCAAGGTCACGCAATTTTAGTTTCATCCCGACACATCCATTTAGACCCGTCTAAATTTACCCCTTAGTCAGGAGAAAGTCGATGAGGTTGAGGTGTGTAACAGGAGAAGAAGAACCAGAATTCGTGTAGGAACAACTCTGTCACTTCCAAAATGCGGCTTGGACAAACATTTACAGCCTTCCTTTCATGGGCCTTGGTGGCTTCGGCCACCATTCTCGAGAACGGTCAAGTGAGAGAGAATGCATACCCAGGCCAGTTACAACCGGTGACTCTGGACGATTCATGGAGGAACTATCCTGCGGATGCTCCGGAGATATCTTACAAAGGTCGTTGGGATAGCCAACATATTTCCTGTATGTTTCCCCATATCCCGCTCCTCTTCCCCGGATTCTGGTTTTAACCTTAATACTAACCTTGGATCGATACTCAGGGTGGTCGTAGGTATTACTTTCTTTATTATTTTATCGGGTTTACTAATTAACTTAGTGCACCGGGAATCAAAGTCGAATTCTCTGGGGAAAAGGTACATCTTGTCTATTTCGATCAACGTTAAAAAGGGTCCACATATTAACATCATTGTAGCTTGCTGTCCATTTCGGTCCAAGCACCAACACAGGTGTCCTCGTGGCCTACCGGTATGTATCATCTCCCTCTCTATGTATTCATTACTCTAAATGTCAGCAGGATCGGCTCTCTCGACTGGCAATTTTCTAATATCACCGCATCATCAACATATCAATTTGTTGGTCCAGAGTCAGATCTCAAAGATGGCGATGAACCCGTCGATAAAAATACGTTTGAGATGAGAGGTATGTATTCCATCAAACCAGTGGCAAGGTCTATATACTAACTACCCTACAGTGACAAATTGGGGCATTGGATAAGTCTCACCCTGTCGTTCAATCTGTTCGTTACTTACCGTCTACACAGTTCAAATCGCTGGTGTAGCTGTCGCGAATGGCGCTGCCCTCACCAAGCCTCCTACCTTCGAGAAGAGAGTTGAGATCATCGGCGGCTCGTGAGTCTTCCCACCTTCGCCACCTACTCTTCCATGCAACTAACCGTCTCCAAGACTTGCATCTGGGCAATTCGCCACCTATGAGACACTCTCATCCTGGTCCTTCCTCTTCGCCAATGGCTTGGGCAACGTCGAATATGGCATCACAGTCAGTCCACCCATACTTAGAATCCTTGATTCGATATGCTGACAGTCTCACAGGCCTATCCCGGCGTGTGTCTTGCCGATGAACAATGTTACAACGGCGGCTCCCGCGGCGTGGTATGTCGCCAGCCCCGTATCTTCTCTAGGAACCTCACCATCAACTAACAATACCACTAGGGCTGGTACTGGCACCGTGCCTCAGACCCCGGCTCTCGCGCACGTTCGATCTACGACCGTAACCCCGAGAAGTGGGACGTAAAAGCAGAGCAACCGGCCGATCTTGTGATCATCCAGATGGGCGGTAACGATCACCGCCACCCCAACGAGATCCCCGGCAGGGATTACTACCATGCCTACGTCGACTTGGTGGAGGATATCCACTCCAACTGGCCTAATGCGATCATCATCCTCATGGTATGTATTATCCTATTTGTAACTTTGACTGTGAATGTTGAGGTTCATCTAGCTAATATTCAATAGTCTCAATGGGGAGGTTTCACCAAGCAAGGAAAGAAGTACGTCGGCAGCACTTACTACCAGGAAGAGACCCGGGAGGTCAATGAGCACTTCAAGAACCGTGGTTTTGTCTACTATTTCCCTACCGAGGGTCTGCTGCAACACAACGATATTAACCCCAAGAACCATCTTACGGATGTGGGTCATGTCAAGATTGCGAGTCACTTGTTGCAGTGGGTTAAATTGGTTCTCAGGTGGAACCTTGAGCCCACTGGTGAAGTCTCCGTTGGAACTACTTACTGGAACGATCAGCAGGAATACTGATCGTTCTTTCTTGGATGTAAATTGGGCTGGGTAATGATCTGGCCTCTGTACATTTATTTTGTTAATTACTTGGCATAGTGTGGATAAACTGCAGGATCACATATAGAACATACATACCGCCTTATATGACATTTACATTTTACATTTTACTACTCCAAGTAGGTAGATATCTAACAAACTTCGACAAACGCTTCAACAAAAGGAGAACATGGAGGGAAATATCCGAGCGTTAGAGAAAATTCCAGGGAACTAACTGTGAAGACGGGAAACAACTCCAACAATACTACGAAGAGCTGGAAGCTATCAAACGAGACCATAGCAAAAATAGGCAGACCCTGTTCGCCAACGAATCAATGTTTCCACCAGGATTCTTGAAACAGGACTATGATATGATAAGGGAAAACCCAACATGGTATCTTCGGCAGGATCTGGCTCAAGATTGCATTAACGGAGGTGGTTGTTGTACCTATGGCTGTGACTGTTGCAGAAACCGTGCAACCGTTCGTTATAAGAGGCGTGTTGGGCACTGTACAGCTGGCTGCGGTTGTTGTGCAGGTGAGAGGGGGTTTCACGATTTCTGAAGCAAGTCACTTTGCATTGAGCCTAAAAAAACTGCTACAGTGGAAGGTCTTTTGTTGTAAGCTAACATGCAATGATCTGATTCCTTCTAGTGATGGACGCGTATGTTTGTCAGTGCCCCATAATCCCCCATGGCAAGACCATGTCTGCTTCTTTTGCATGTTCTCTGGACATGAGCTTTATAACAAAATTTGGTCTCATGAATATCTGCTTACTGAAAAGCCTCTCCTTCATAACCTTGCATACTTGGCATATCTAACAAATACAAAACAAACACATGATTGATCAGCCAGAAACCAGTAGCCATCCACCACCTGTACATAACTCGATCCTGATGCCTTGAACGGGATGTGACTGTGTAGAAAGATAAGATACTTGAGTTTGTATAAAATAACAGCCCGGACAAGATTGCAGAACCATGATGGGCTCGCATCCAGATCCAACACATGCTCATGGCATTTGCGCCTAACAAGATATACGCAGTCGCTTGTCGAAGTCTTACCTGGCCCCTGGGAGAAAGTAATATAGGTATGGTGATTGCGTGCGTGGTGTAGTCCCCCTCAATATCGCGAAAGTCCTGCAGATGAATTGTGGCCATGGTCCAGACGCAGACGATCATGTCTGGTACTGCATTCATGCACCATTGTTCATGATTTGGAACAACAGCATTTAGTAGACGAAGCATGATGAAGGTACTTCCAGCGACCATTATGCTCTTTGTCAACCAGTGACGGTATGCGGGCCACACATAGAATGCAAACACCCACGCCTGCTCCACAGCCATGTAGAAAGCCGGCCATTTCCCATATAGCAAGGCGAGTATAGTAGGAGCAAGACACCATGTTATCAACCAACGGACGCGGGCCTGCTTGAGAGTGATAAGACCAGATGGAATTGGTCGGTGAGGCTTGTTTAACTTGTCCTCTTCCACGGAAGATGTTGTGTTGGCAATATCGAATATGTAAACCCATATAAGACATGTTATCATCACATTGAGTGAGGCTACGGCTCCTGCTGTGAAGGATACCGGGTGAACAAGAAGCCTCGGGATAAATCCTCCAATAAAGCCAGCCAGATTTCCAGGGAAATTGTTCTTGCAGAGAGCCCATGTAATGGCGCATTCACGTTCAAGGAGCGTGGAGAAAGGCGAGTCCTGATGGCATGATTTTGGGTTATAGCTGGAAGATCAGCATCACAAGAAAACTAGGAGACTTCAATTAACTGTAGTAATCTTCTCTTACTAATTATCTGGAAACCTCCCCTTCGAAGGAAGAGTTTTGTTGACGGCAGATCGCAAAACGATTGTGGCTGGCATAGTGGAATAGCGAATAGGTTGTGATAAGGGATTAATGAATCTTTAAGCCGTTGATATGCCTTTCATCCGTCCCGCCTCCTTCATATATGTTCTGCTACGCTAGCCTTCATTATTGATAACTATGTGGGCCATCCCGCTAGGATCACTGATGTTTCTCCATCTGTTACCCGAGCCATGCAGGTTCGTGCAGGATATTTCACCGCTTCATTATGTTATTTTTCTTTTAATACGTCATTCGTATTGTGGATGGGATGTAAGGGGCGAATTCTCACTTGTAGAAAGACTAAAGTCCATTGTGACTGTGCGCTTGCAGCTTTAGCCATCTGGGAGGTGATTATTTCAACACTAACACTACGTATCATATCAAAGATCATAGGTGCTCACCGATTTGCGGAAATATTGTACCTCTGTGTCCCCGGTTGACATTTTGTTGCGCTACATGAAATATCCCAGTCAAACTAAACCACTGCCAGGAGCGGAACAGCAGCCTCATCTAGGACCATCCCCCAAGCTCTATATTGGGGGGGGAGGGGGGCAATTCCAAGAGGGGAGCTAGTTTCATGAGGATGGGGGTAGTTTCAAGGAGTTTTGGAAATTATCGTTACAAGATACATCACAAGTAGAATGGGGTGGATTCTCCACAGTAAGGCTTCGGCTTACGAAGGACAGAGGATCAGTTGATACCGGACCAACTTTGCTCAGCCCTAGCTAATCGTACGCCAGCCGCAATCAATGGATTTTGTAGAAATCATAACGGCAAATTCATCAGTATCGCGAGAGCTGCAAAGTTCAAACCTTTTTTGAAAGGTATTTTGAGGAAGACTTTCTTCAAATCATATTGTAGTAATCAATTCAAATGAGATCTAGTCAGAATCTGATGATAGAGGAATGTACATAAAAAGCCGATACGTTTACAAACCTGTGGCTTATTTTCCTCAAAGATTGTGAAATCGAAGCTTAATCGGAATTTTGCAGGTTGGTGCCCAATCCAACGCTCGAACCTCTATTTTATGTGACACAAGGGTTGATGCGATTCGTACTATCTACTCGCATTACTGCAGAGGAGGGACTTCATTTGCTAGGCAACACGCAAGGATAATGGATAAACTTAAGCAAATAGGGCACCCGCATAATGTGAAGAATACATATTGTCCTGGATTCGGGGTTCCATCTTCTAGACCTTGTCAATCTGCATTAGGCTACTGTAGAGCCCACTCGCGGCGCATCTCGGTGGCGCTAGCATTATAATTCTTTTTTAAAAAATAAAATACTAGTACCCCTAAGAATGCAACAATAATTCTCGAATATTTTATTATTAAATGCATGACGTTACGTATTGTGTTTGATCAGATGAGAGGAGAAATCTTTAGAGGTAGCGTTGTAGTCATAGGCTTAAGTGGCTTAAATGACCTAAAACCGCGGAGTCTTTTTCCCGAGTGACTAGTTGCTTTCTGGCTAATATTAAGTATCTAGATATATATTCCCCCTCTCCTACCTTATAGCTAGGCTGGTCTCTTCTAGTATATTACGTATATCTTGTTCGATCTTATATACATAAAGGGAATAAGCTTTTTTACTTATTGAATTTGGCCGTATACTCTAATCATTGAGACTGAACTTATTAAACCTTTATTTAATATGCGGTTAAGAATAACCTAAACTCGAATTTTGCTCTAAAACATGTCTTTCTTTAGCGACATATAGGACATAAAGCGACCCGGAAACCGGTTATCTAACAAGTTCCTTAAGTAGGTTATTATCTGACTATTACCAATTGCTCTCTTTACTAAAATAGACCGATTTAGCTCGCTGGATATCGACACCGATAGATATTAACACTGCTTGACTTGCATAAAATAAAATGAATACCTACATGAATAACCTGTTGGCAAGCCAAATATAGTTGTGTTAGAATATTCAATACAGCTATAACATGATGACATAACCAATCAAGAGGAAGACACAAGCTGTACCTAGAAGTGGTGGATTCTGTATAGTGTTAAGGATAGCCTCCCCCGTCTTGTCCTTTATCAGTTCTTGTTTTAGTGCATTTGACTTCTGTAGTGATGTGAATGTTCCGGGAATGAATAAATATCCCGCAAGTAACATCTAGTGTGCCAAACTGGCGAGAATATTATATTCCTATAGTACCTAATCTGAATCAATAACCATCTGTATGTAGCGAGTTTGATGGAAATTATCACGGTAAGTCATATTTTCGAGAGTATGCGGTCTTGGTTTGTCCATATTTCCTTTTTGTTAATAGGAAACCGTCCAATCCTTTCGTTAGCTTAAAAAGCGAGGACACTAAAACGGAACGATGATTGATCGGAATTCAGTTAAAGTTAGTGAGTGGACTTATTCTTTCACTAGGAAAAAATTGAAAATACTCCTTGACTTTACCAAAGGCTACTCCTCATTTCCAGTGTATCTATAGATAAATTACTAGACATTCCTTGCCGAAATGGGACCGACTAAGTTTGGCTATTAGAACACAGATAGTATAGTTTTAAGAATTTCAAATAGAAGATTATACCATGTGAACTACCCTTAATCAGACTAGCTATTAAACGATCTTCCCTTTTACCTTGGATTTGCCTAAGCTTTCTCGGTCTTTCAATCGCCCTATCTGCCTCCCTTATTCTTTATATGATGGATATAGCATAGAGCAAAGAACAGTTGCAGAGCTAAGGCCAATAGAAGCGTTCTAAGGAGTTAAAAAAGCTCGCAAGCTTCCCATTTCGTCGCATGGCTCAAACTCCTATTCAAAAATCTCGATCCTATGATATACAAGAGCTCGGACTAGTTGTCTGATATTTTGTTAGACTTGTACTGTGCGGAAGCTGTGGAGTATTAGATCTCATTTCATCGGCAATAGAGGTTGGGCCTGTGACGATTAGTATGAAAACTGGATTCTACCGGTTTGCTCCGCATTAGTTTACCGAGTAGCCTGAAAACATTCATTTCCAGCTCATCAATAAGATCTTCTAAAGATTGAGTCCATGTTCCACTTATCGATATCCTCCGGGCTAGTTAGCGGGTGACATCCATCATGTTCTTTATGCCTATTGAGAGATTATCAGGAATGATCTTGTCCCGTGTTTTTAAATCTGTGTTGAATAGGAAACATGACTTTGCCCATGGTTGACGTAACCTTACGGCGATATTTAATTTTGAGCTGATCTAGGAATTCTCTGAGAAAACTGCTTGTCTTTGAAAGCATATATCAAATGATACAAGTGCGTCATGTACTTATCTATAAGCCAAATAATATAAATCTAAATCCCATCAGTCACTGCTGTACAGAGCTTTGAAATAACTCCTCCATGGTTTCAGTTAATATCCAATAATCATGATTCACATTAGCGGCTTCAAAGCCGCCAAATTCATAACCAGCTTTGATCCGCCATTCTTCTTGTGGTTTATTTATCCTCCATTTCCATGTCTCGTGAGATTGCCTGAGGCGTTCGCCAATTTTTACCCACAAGCAGAGCTGGATGTAGACCAGTCAAGCAAATACACGCAATTGAAACCATAGCGCCTTCGAGGATCATCAAGGCTATCTCGTCGTTGGCCAATTTACTGTCAAATCCGCCCTGGAGCTCGGCCACTCGGAATGAAGATCGAATCAATATAGTTAGAACGGCAGATGTCAAACCTGGTAATCAAACTCGAGTCAGTGGAATGCCCATAGAAGAGATCGAGGTGATATACATACCAAGCAAAAACGATCTCCTCATCCAGCTTGCCGGCCGTTCCTGAGTAGGGGAATGCAGGCGTCTTCCTCGTAAAACTCGGACTCCATACTCAATCGCTAGAATAGAGAACACTACCAGCGAGGCAACCTGAAAGACCAGGCCAGCGATCATGATGTTGACACCAGTATCGCGAAGTGACTGTTCATCAGCGATTGAAGTGATGGCTCCACCGGCCGCTTGCAAGATCAGGGAAATTAAATCGCAAGTCACGAATAAGTAGGTGTAGGTTCTTGGTTTCAAGCGTGAGAACTCTTCGCCGTAAACTGTAATAATACGACCGAGGCATAGATAGATTCCAGCTGTGAAGAATGCTGGGGCAATGGTGAGACATATCAAATACCTAATGTATCACGCCTCGGTCAGCATATATTCAATCATGTGGTAGGCTCAGTAACTTACATCAAGAAAGAATCGAAGTTGAATGGGTTATCATGTAAGAGAATTCGGCCCAAATATCCTATGACCTCCAATATAAGGCCCGCGGCCATTGGCACCATGAAACTCCAAGATCGAAATACGATGCCCGTACCGATCTGTCCAATGAGTAAGATGGCGAAAAGAGCGAGATAAATGATGTTTCCAGCCACGTTAGGCTGATACTGGATGTAAGCATCACTTAACGGACATGTTTGCAAAGTGCAATCATCTGGATTGGACATGATCACGTATAGTAAACAGTCTTGGAAGATTAAGTAGGCTTAAAGGAAGTTTGAAGACAATGAGTGCTGCGATTGAATTGATAGTAGCGAATCCATGATAGATTCGTCACTATTTATGTGCAGACCCAAAGATGTTTGACGCTGCCTATCCTCAATCAATAGTAACTATGAGGCTGTGTGAGTATTTTTAAAAATTCAAATCGAGGTAATCTCACTACCAAATCCTTCGAATTTATAGTCAAACCAATAATCAACGCTGCCATGAAGATTGATACGAGATAGTGGATCCCAAGTTAAGCCGTTGCCTGGCGGGTCACCGATGCCAAGACTTTTGCACTTAGACCGTGTCCTTGTCCTTGTCCGTGTCCTTGTCCTTATCCTCTTCAACTCGCCCGTTTCCTTGTCCTGATGTACTTTTCACCAGGATAGATTAACTATACTCAATTTGGAACATGGCATCTACGTCAGGACACATCAAAACGTGTCAAAACTGTGCTCGTGGCAAAATCCGATGTATCCGAACCTCGGATTCCTCTATCTGTGATCGGTAAGTAGTGAAACTCGATCATCATTTTTATACTCAACTATAACCATATTCTAATATAAGGTATTAGATGTCGCCGCCTTGATAAAGAGTGCTATTTTAGGGCCGCTCGACCTCGCTACAACCCCGCTAAGAAGGGGACGTAAGGCTCCCAAATTCCATCTGATTCGTGACAGTGAATAAGAGCTGACGGAAGCTTAAAAAATCAGACGAGTCGAGGCTCTCGAAGCCAAAGTGGATCAGCTCTTAGCGCGAGTCGTTAATAACCAGCACAATGAACACCAGCCTGATGTTCCTTTAGCCCTGTCTGACCCGGAACTTCATTCCATCCCAGATAAACCCCGAGATGTTATTGATCGCGGGATTGTGAGATTTGATGATGCCGTCACTCTTCTTGAATCTTTTCGGGAAACCTTTATGCCATGTTTTCCATTTATCTTTATCGCACCGGAAGTGACGCTTGCTCAGCTGCGAGCGGAGAAACCGCTTCTCTTGCTGGCTATCCTCAAGGTCTCATCATACAAAAATGCAGCCGCTCAGCAGATATTGGAAGAAACCTTCCAAACGGCAGTTGCTGATCAGATGATCTTCGCCCATAATCCATCCATGGATGTATTGCTGGGACTCCTTGTGGCTTTGGCATGGTGAGTCTAATTTAAAGTGGTTTTATTGAAGACGGCACTACTGACTCAAAGCCTCAATATCCCAGGTTGCAGCATCAGTCTCAGAATGAAAGATTTTCCAGCTACCTTCATCTTGCTTGGAGTATAGTCGGTGATTTGCGGCTTGACCGGTTGTCGGAAACCCAATCATTCTATTCACGGATGGATATGAGCAAGGTCTCTTCCGATGAAATCAGCAGTAGACATTCGGTGAACGAGAGAAGACGAGCTCTGATTGGATGTTACATGCTATCCTCATGGTCAGTAACAATGCCCATATCTCCCTAATATTACTGACTGGGTATGGGTGTGTGCAGTCGCTCGACAATATTGCAAAATGATCGCATGATGACTCGGCTGCTATATGTTGAAAAGCATGCACTTGAATTACTATCAAATGCTGAGACTGCCAGTGATCGCTGCTTAATACATTTAGTAAAATTACAACAAATCTTTGAACGGATCGATGATGCTGTGGTCACTACTGCGAATCCAGTACGAGAGGTTGATATGCATGCATTCCAAACCGAAATCGATGAGTACAGAACGACCTTGCCGGCAACGTTTTCGGACAATTGTAAGTGACACCGCTTGTGAGTTTGATTGATTAGACTGGAACTAATACTAACTCAACGTCCACAACATAGCCCTACTACAATTTCAGCTACACACTCTACAATTGTTTCTATGCCAGGCTTGCTTATTTGATAAACATGAAACACCCAATCATTCGGCTTCGTCCGCGCCTCGCTCCCATGCAGACTTAGGGCTCCCACCACATCTCCAAAGTGGTCACCAACCGTTAGACTTATCACCCTTCCAGGTTGAATTTCTCAATCGCGGCATGACTGAAGCAAAGAAATTCTTTGATTACGTTTTCACATTTGCTCCGGATACTTATCGACTGATCAGCCATACGCAATGGCTTCAAACAGGCTTTAACGTGGTTCTAGGCTGCAAACTAGCCGTCACGGGGGCAAAATACGCCCCACGCAGTCCACATGTTCGTGCCCTATGCTCGGCTTTGAATATGCCACACGTTCTGCGGGCCGCGTTGGAACGGATCCAATGGCTCAGCAAGGGCAGAGCGACTGTAGATGGGAAACAGCACTCTAAATACTTCTACGAGGCATGGCTGTGGCATATTCTTGAATGGTTCGAGCAAAAGTATCACATGGTGCCCTCTGAAGATACGACCCAAATACCTATAGGATTACCCGATGGCGGCCTCGGACCGTCTACTTTGGCCAACAGCGCAACCTCGCAGGATGTCCCCCTAATGGGTGAAAATTATGGCGCGACACAAGTAGCACAGGTAGATGATACTGCCTTATGGCCGGACTTCCTCTGGAATATAAGCACGGATGACATACTCAATGGGTATATGGGGTTTCCGGATATGCCGTATCCTACATTACAGCCTGGATATGACGTGCCACTGCCATGAAAACAAGAGACATTGACATTATGCGAATGCACAACACCCAAAGAGACCAAGTAAAGAAACCAAGAGCTTGTCCCCGCGGTAGCATCGCTTTAACTCAAATTTGTTGCTGTTTACACCAATAATATTTCTTGACATATTCGCACCGTGCAAAGGCTCCAAGTGGGGAGACCATGGAGTAGAGCAAGGAAATTTACCTAGAGGTATTCATTCAGTCCCCCATACATCACTGTTCGCCGTCCCTCCGCCCGCATCATAGTATAGATTTCTCTCTCTTTCTGCCAAGAAATCTGCGCTGATAGCATGAGATGTCGTGGCGGACCGGAGCATTGATTTCGAGGCCCCTCGCCGTGATTATCACTGGTCAAGTATCTCCTAGGAAATATGCACCTGCATCAGAATGGATAATTCTCGCCGCTCGGCTTTTCCTCTCCGTCCATCGAAGGAAAGAAATAACGAATAAACTCCTCGCTAATTGGGTCATAAGGGAAATTTCCATCGCCTACAGTTTGTTCTTGAGTACTTGGCGTAGATAAAGATACAGGCACCCAAGAACCCGTGAGATCCGCGTCCTTGGTGGAATGATTCATGGTATGGCTTTCATGAGAGAGTATTGACGATGGATATTGACCATTGTAAGGCAAGTCCTGTTTACCGTCAACGCCTCCATCCCGCTGTGAAGGTTGCACAGGGCCGACATGATCACCAGACAGGTTATGACCCTGTTTATTTGGAGGATGTGGTATCTCGCCATCGTCGTACCCCATGCTAGACACCAATCGACGAACTGCACTTTCACAAAGTTGCCATGCACGATGTGACGCGATGCAATGCGTGGACATCATATGAAGCCACCGGACAGATTTATTCGCGGACCGAATCAGACTGCTTTCTCGGCCTGGCAAGTGCACACAGCGAAACGACAGCTCCAAAATTATGACCGTTGCTGTCTGCATTATGTAGTGAAGGAAACACCACCATGGGCAAAACTTATATAAATGGGCAGTATTCGGCTCGTCAGGCAACAAATCGAGCATGTTCATAGCCGATTCCAGGGTCATGACAGCCATTTCGTGGCTAAATCCTTGGTGGTCGAGACTCCTCCGTCGTTTGTCATCCTGATGTGGCATGTGTCGGCAGAGACATGGCCGACCTAGCACGATGCGTGTGCTATGGTAGTGGAATGCCAAGTTTGTTTTTGCCCAGTAGGTCTTCTCGTTTTCTTCTTTCATAGAAGTGAAATCCAGTCCGGGTGGAAGAGTCGATAACCATGCATCGACGGTTGCCTTCAGCCGACTAATGCTACCCTTAATATCGTCCCATGATACCGTCGCACTCTCCGCTGAATAAACGTGGTCTAAGATTTCTTGGTTCACGACTGTGAGATCACAGGAGTACAAGAAATAAAGACTGGAATTGACTGGCAGACTTTGAAGCCACGAGCGCCCAGCTAGTGCATCTTCAGTCTGTTGACGATCGGGATAGCGAATGTGTGGGCTAGTCATAGCCATGTCCACTTGTTTTTCTCTTATATCGAAGTTATCAAGAAGCAGTCTAGCTGATGGCTCGGACAAATGATGTTCGTCAAAGGGAAGAGGTAGTTGGGTGGTATACATATTGGTCGAAATTGAGGTTGCCCGACCAGTCATTGAGCCTAGCGTGTGTTCGACCGTGTAAAGACACCACCAAATGCGGCAGCCTATCTCCTTCGACACACCCAGCATTTTATGGCAACTGCTCTTCAGGTTGATGCCAAGGGAGGTGGCTGACCGAATTGCTAGAGCTGAGATTCTCCACGCCCTAGATTTATCAGATTCATCCGATAAGGAAAATGGCTTGATGAACTCACCTATTAATCTGGTTTGTAGATAGCATGTGAAATGCAATTAGGCCCTCTATTTGCACTTGCTGAAGATCGGGATGTTCGAATAAACTATCACCGCCCATGCTCAGCATTCTAGCTCGTGTTAAGTAGAAGAGGTGGTCTTTGATGTCCCTCCGCTGTGTCGCATCACTGTTATATAAGAATTCCGTTGCAATGGCGAAGATCATGTTCAATATTGCCATCCATTTATCACCCGCATAAAATATATCATCGAAGAAGTCTCTATACTGGGTGGAAAACAGAGTGCTATTGATGATGGGGAAATGCGGATGAACTGCGACCAAATATGTTTCAAACAGATTATCTGCCACCTGTCGCGGAGGGACCCAATACATTTGCACTGGTCCAGGTGCATCAACACCAAGGTCATCAACATGGTAGTTGACCGTGGATGGAGAAATTTTGTCACCGGGGTGGTCTTTGGGTATGGCCTTTGGCGATTGACCGCGATTGCGCTGTTCTGCCTCTTCCTGCACCCGGCCCATCCAGGTAATCTCTGAGCTCTTGCCCATATACCCAGTAGCCCGGGAGCTTTCTGTTAAATTGAGGTCTTCCTCGACTCGATCTACCGCTTCCAATGAACCGATGGAAGAAGGTGAACTGGATCGCTTGGACGAGCCCATCTGGCCTTCAGGCGTGTCAGGTGTTCCATTTGACATATGGCCTGAATTCGAGTTATACTAGTCGAAGTTTTAGTCAAGGGCAAGACTCCAGGTTATTTGTGATATGATGAGCTCCCCACCTTCTGGAGTAGATCTTCAATGCGCTTGGCAGATTGGCCGTCGACCACATTTCCTATCTCTTTCAACACAGTCTCGTAGCCCTGTACTTTTTTACGAAGATCTTCTATTTCTCTAGTAGTAGGTTTAGCTTATGTCTCAATTTATTGCATGTAAAAAAAACGATACGGAGATGTGGTTATTGAGATAGATGGGTTATTTTGGTTGTCTTACTTTGTGGTTTTCTCGCGCGATTTCAGCGGATAAATGCACGGAGTATTTGTTTCTTCGCACAGCCTACAACTTGGAGTCTTGCCGTTGCATTTTATTTTTCGCTGGCGACATGATTCGCATGCCCGTGAGACTCGTTTGTTGGATGGTGGTGGGACGATGAACCGTTGCCGGGGGATTGCGACTTTCATGGCAAAGTTTTCCAGCCTGTAAATATATGTTGAACAAATGAGGATATCAGGTATTTTGAAGGATGTCTTGATCTTCGGTCAAGAAATGATGTCACGTTGCCTGGCTCCACGCTCCACGCTCCAGCTTTCTGCAATGACATCATGAAGTTGGATATGCTGAAAGTTCCACTTATCAACTATATTTAATGAATAGCAAATATTTCAATCTCAGATAACAATACTTAAAAAATAGTCAATACGGAAAAAAAAAAAAAAAAGAATAATACAAGTGAAGTGTGGCTTTTACATGAGTCTACGACATTGTATAACCAAATTTGGAAATCATGAGTTTCAACCTTGGAAAAGAGGTTTCAAGACAGTTTTCAAACAAGTTTCATACAGGTTTCAAGTTACCGCCGCATTCTTTGCTCCGTAACATTTCATTCACTTTAGTCGATTTCTCTCAATTTGTAGTGCCAAAACTCTTGCAAATCGACTTCGATTCTATCTGAGACGATGAACCCTTTTTGTCGTATCTTGCGAATAGTGCCCAATACTTTTACCTGCATATGCCTCTCAAAAACGTGAATTCCGGCCATTCGGAGAGGAAATAACAAGAGAACTGCCAGGATACATGTATCCGAGAGAAGAGTTTGAGACAGATCCAGAATTGAGGCGACATGTTTGTCAACGTCACTCTGGTTTAGCTGAGGGATTGTTCGTGTCATCCAGCATGAATAATATGTAAAATTGTTGCAATGATATAAAAGAAGAGCACGGTGAACGATGATAGCCAATTGGGTAAAGGAATCTTCTGGTAACCTTTCCAAGTGGCTTTCTTCTTGCCAGTTGAGAAGTCTTCCTTTAATCTCCAGCCCTTCTAGGGCAAGAGTGTCCAATCTGGGATCAGATGATCTCAACTTTTGAGGAACGCTCTCAATTTTGTCAAAAAGTCTAAAATTTTTAGCAGCACCCACCAATCAAGTTATTAAAATCGACTTGCCTTTTTGCAAATGTAGAAGTCTGTATCATGAGCATGAGAATTTTGTTCATGAGATCTGGCCAGCTTTCCTGCGACAAACTCCACTGCCATTTGTCTGGCAGAAGGATAGTATCGTCGCCATAAAGTATGGCTCTGTTGGTCTCCAAAATCCAAAAAGCATCGATCAAGCTCTTCGTGGGTAAGGAAAGCGGATTTGTAGGTTCCAATAGGAGCAGTATTTTCGATGCACCAAAAACCATGTGGTTTGCGAATGCGTTGCCGGAATTTTCAGCCATCAGCTGTGAAAATGATTAACGGAGTTCGCAATTCTATAAATATAATCATACTTCAAAAAGACCATGGAGAAATGTGCTCCAAAACACGTCATCCCTAAAGACTGGACTTGCCGTCGAGATTGCTGAATACAAATCTTGTATTGATCTACCGCAAGCCCGGAATGCAATTTGCTGAGGAGACTCAAGCTTGCCAAATGATCTGGTAGAACCTTTCCTACTGGCATCCAAAGCTCCAATTGCAATAGCAATGTGGGAAAGCAGAGGGTATTTACCAATGACAGTGACAATGTCTGCATTTACAGCTGCAAAGTCTTTGGTAAAGTGGCATCGCTGAAGGAACGATGCGAAATGATCCAGATATATGGTATCATCATGCTTCCGCACTTGCACGGGAATCGTAGAAGACAACACATGTCCCGAAACATGGACGAATTTCACTTGCGTCTGCCCTAGCCGCTGGGGCGAACAGATTTTCTTCGTCCGGATGCATCTTTCGCAGGGGTGGCCCCCGTCACACTATATAACGTGTAAGCTTGACTTATCTCATTAAAACAAAGTGTTGGTTGCCCAAACCTTTACCCGTCGGTTCGCACAAGGCTGACAGCGCGTTGTGTTTTTGCGCTTGTCCAGAGGCCCGATAGCACGTCTAATGATTTCGCTTGGCCGTACACATAGCTCCTCTGTCATGATTCAAATTATTAAACATCCAAACTGTTTAACAACGGCCGAAAACTCTGATTTGGACCTGGTGACCCTGTCATGTGACTCTTACCGTTTGTCGGGCTGCCTACAGCGAAGTGGGGAAAGTGTAACAGCCATACTCAAGATCGACGGATGTCTTAAGAGGCAGCAAGAAAAATCATGGAGTCAGACAGGAGCTCATTACAATATTTAACACTACCATGATGACGACAGTTTCTTTGTCCATGATAAGCTAGTTCTCTAATAAAATGAATTTTATTTTATTGGACATTAGGTGATTTACGGCGAAATCTACAGTTATTCTTTGACACGATTCAGACTAACTTCGATGTTACCTCATTAACAAAATGAGGGTCTATACTAATTGGTGGTAAACTGCACCCCAGCCGTTTTGACGCAAATAGCCTGCCCATGATCTCATCTGGATGATGTAGAAACAGTCTAGGCTTGGATGTTGAAGTATTCAGTGATGACTCTGGTACGCAATCCAGGAGAAAAATAGTCGTACCCAACCATAACATTGCAGTTGCTCACATAGACTGTAACAGGAATAACTCCCTGGTACATGATATTCCACTGATGTCATTTATTATTAGCTTAAGTAATGTACCTGCCTCTAACCTGAACCCGGGAAAAGCCACTTACAGCTGCGACGAGGCCGTGGTTGAATTGGCGCTGGACCAGTCCGGCAAAAACAGCACCATTACTGACCAGTATGTCTTCAGAGAACAGAGGAAAGTTCGAGTTGACGAAGCCCCTCCATATGGTTGGCTTGTTGGATTCGTGGCTAAAGGTGGTCAAAATGTTGTCCACCAAACCTTCCTCGGTAGAGTTGGCGTAATTGAAGAAGGACGAAGCCAGGCTACCATCAAAGGCTTCATCAACTCGAACGAAATTCTGAGATGCAGAGTTGTTGATAAAACCAGTTGTGATGTGCGACAGGTTTTGATTCCTGTTGCTCTGTTAATTTGATAACAGAAGTAGGTGGGCATCAATATTGGTCGCCTACCACTTGTGCTGGATAAAGCTGGTCTTGTACTCAGCCTTTATCAGAGGAGGACCTGGCTGTTCGAACCCAGCAGAGAATTCGATCATCGAAGAAGGGAATGGGCGACAGTTTGAAGCTCCCACTGGCAGTACGGCAGCTGCAATCGCCAGGGAGAGTATTTGAAGGAAGTACATGATTCTAGTGTGAAAGCTGATGATTGATGAAAGCTGTAGACTCTTAGAAAGGAAGATGGTAGTGCGTATGAAGACCTATACCTGGGGCTATCGGTCGCTTTATACTCCACGAAGCACACATGGGCACGCGTGTGAGAACCGTTTTCCTCCAAGAACCGATCTCGCACCTACTCTAGGGCGCGCTCAACCGATACTGCTTTAGGATACCGAGGCTTAGGCAACAACCTAGTGGCAGATACTATGATATGACCAGTGTCATGAGTTTCTAACGATAGCTTAGCCGAGTGTAGGCTATAGGAGCGTTCAATTAATTCCTGATTTAGTTCGTTGCCGGCCCGTCTAGTGGAGACACAACCTCTTTGGTTTGACTAACGAGGATCAACAGTAGCGATTGTGACAAAAGACTGAAAAGTATAGGAGATTTGTGACAAAGCATATGATTAGTTTCCCAAATGATAAATTTGAACTGCTGGAACCACTCTCTGACTTTCCTGAAGTGGAGCCTTTTATGGGGCGAATAATTAGTGTATGAGTTAAAGAGGGCACTTGGCCATTTTGGGATGCACCCACGCTCAAATATTTCCTAAAATGGCTAAGTGCCTTTAAGCCCAGAAGGCGCTTGCCCGTTTCGGGAAGTATATCTGGTCTGGCTACCTCACAATCTCACCACGGAGCCAATCTCAACATGTTATACTTGTTCCAGACATCTGGGGCTCATGGCAGCCGTAGAAAGGAGAAAAATACCACTGCCCTTAGAATCGGCGTGTGAAACCCCCAAACCCTACCCCGACATAGTCCATGCACTCGGGACCAAGAACTAAATATTTATAAAAGTCCCTGAGGCATTCAATGTATCAATTAATGAGGAAAGGAAACTTCATATATATCCCACTCAGAGACGTCGAGCCAAAATATCATTATTTTCATACGGCCTAAACCCAGCATGGGCTCTCAGTCACTTGTCTAAAAAAATAACGTTATAAGCGAAGAGTAGTACACTCCTCGCACCACCTTGAATGTTGACAATGTCTAATGAATATTCTAGACCATCTCAGTGCAAAAGAACCAAGATTCAAGCGGTTTTCCAGATCGCTCGCCATGGGCCAAAAATTTCGCTTCGTTTTTCCCCAAAGAAACTTCTTCAAATCCAACAATTCGCTCAAAATCACCGGCCAGTACTCGAACCAACCATTTCTGCTAACTGTCAGTATACTAGCCACTATCAGCGCGAGTTGGTCTATACCTTCAATATAAATTCCGGTCTAGGCCCTATCATTGCGTATCAAATTCTCTACGGCATAGGCACCGAAATCTCAGTTCAGATCCCTATTGTTGTGGCGGGAGCATTGAGTTCCACAGAAGATCGGCTTGTTCCCACGGCGACTGTTCTGGTACGTGCAAATATATTCCGGATACTAACCGCCAACTCACTGACCTATTCACAACCTTCCGATCGACTCCATGGATTCAATTAAGAACAACTTACTTCTGAAAATATCCCCAACTGTATGAAGTGTATTAACCGTGAAGATATCATCGCTGTCAGGTCAAGTGGGCTTGAATATGGCATCTCGGTCCCAGCGCTCCTATCTTGATGGTTTGCATGGAAATTAGAATTGCACTCTTCGGTGTGTCATTTTTGTACGTCCTCACTCCGAAGCGAGGAGGCAAATTCCGCGGCCGGGTGATTGTTAGAAGGACGACCAGGGCAACCTTGTTCCTACGGCATAGTCGGTTTGAACTCGGCCTGGCTTGCTGTCTAGGTTTTGGTGCAGGTGGAGAATTTGCCTCCAAGCTTTGGGTTTTCGGGTTTCGGGGTTCGGGAATTTATGCATTTCGGCGTCTCCTGGGTGGGGACAATTGTCATGCATAAATCTAGGATCTAGATGTTTAAACAAGGCTATCAGATACGGTAAGAGTTGACTGCTCTGGTAGTTGTGGTAGTTCTTAAGATTCTAATAATATATATTTACAGTAAGGAATACGAATATACAAGACTAAGTTAAATCTCCCCTATTCTTTCTCACTATTTAATGCCTCAGGCATAAATCATATGAATTCGCCCAATCAGGCAATTGCCGAGGTATCCAAACATCTCATTCGCCAAGTCCTTTATATTCTGATTATTCTTCCCAACGACTCCACCTGCCATGCAAAGATTGGTGCTAAAGATCAGACAGATCCCAACCGTTGTTGCTCGACCAATGTTTTATCTGCTACATTAGGATAATTTCCACATTAGGTGATTAGGTGCCTGGTCACTGAAGAAGATTTTCTTTTCTTTTCTTTTCTTTTTTTTAAAAACGATAGCATATAACAAGAAGACCAAGCCAAAAAAATATTTCAACAGCCCGCAACACTTTTGAATAAGCTAGATCAAGCTATCCCTTTGCGCAGGTCTCAATAACTCCGCAGCCTAAACCTTGACAATGGCTCCACGACCTATCCCATTCCCAGGCTTCACCCCGATATCTGATCGAGTATACCTTCGCGATGGCCACGAAAAAGCCAAGCCATCCCCAGCCGACGAGCCAACAACAATCATTATTTCCGGCTGGGGTGATGGCATGCCAAAACACGTTACCAAATATTCCGACGGCTACCATGAACTCTACCCATCCGCACGGATCATCGTTATCCTGTCGCGTACCTTCCAGGCCTCGAACCAACCCGAGGAAGCCAGAATTGCAGCCATGATGCCGGTCGTTGACACCGTCTTCCCAACGCCAACCGGCAGCGGGAACGAAAAGGAGCGCCTTCTTGTGCATGCCATGTCCAATACAGGCGCCATCTTCGCTGCCGCCATCGTTGTCGCGTACCAGCGACGCCATGGCACAGACAAGCCATTCCCACACCAGCTCATGGTGCTGGATTCCACGCCGGGAAGTCTGGTCTTCACGTCTCAGGTTACCCGGTGGTCGCGTGCCATGGCGGTCGGCACAGCCAAATTCTTCCCTTGGCCCTTCGTTATCACACAGGGTGTGTGGTATGTGTTCCTCTGGGCGAGTTATCTGTGGCAACTCCTGCGCGGCTCCGAAGCTTCGGGTGTGTGGGCGGACCGGATCATAAATGATAAGTCCTGTGTCACGACCGATTCTAGCAGAGTTTACTTGTACTCCAAGGAAGATGAGATTATTGGTTACAAGGACTTGGAGGAGAATGTTGCCCATGCTAAGACTTTGGGCTACTCAGTTGATCTTGAGATGTTTGAAGGCTCGCCGCATGTGGGACATATGAGACTTCATCCTGAACAATATTGGGGTAAAGTTGCCAGCTCTTGGAAGCAGGCCATCGCGGAGAAATAAGGTGTTGTGGGGACGGGATATATTGGATTGTGTGCATTTGTATCTACAACTTAGACTATTTTTAATAATTACATAGAGACATTCCATTCGTGACAGTTTTGTTGGTATTACTCGCCAGTTTGCAGAATGCAGAAAGAAGGATAGCTCCAGGCTAGCCAAGCCCTTAGCCCAGGGTTTTGTGGGGTGTCGATCAAATCCTGCGTGAGGAACAGACGTACGATCCACTATATCGGTACCCAACCTGGTCTTGGATTATACGCGTTTATATGGTCTCTCAGTCGCAACCCAAACTCAATTTACAAAAGCATCGGCAGGATATTCATAGATAGTAACTTATCAAATTCGTAAGTCAACAACTCAGGTCAGCACTATCAATCATCAATCTGGTTCTTCCAAACAATGCGAAACGAGTATACAAAGACAGCAATCCATTAACTCCACTCTGGAGATGCAACCTAGTCGCGATCATCAGGATGGAAAACCAATGCTCGCACTTCAATACTCTCTCGTCCCGCTTCATTCTCCGTTTCCGGGTTAACAAAGGCAGTGTGAGGCACACGACGGGCTCTTCCATCAACCTTAGAATCAAAGCATTTGATAAGAGTCACCAAATCCGGAGTCTGGCCATAGCGGTAATACCACTTGATATTAGGATCTGGCTTGACGCCATATGTCTCACCCTGGCGGTCCGGGTAAATGAGTCCGATAGGCACAAGGTCACTATCCGGGACGGAGTGTGCATCTGCCACGGCCAATGGGTCCTTCAGGATGGTCTTGATTGGACGCCAGACGTTGATGATCTGGTATCGGCCCTTAAGGAGCTCGGGTGCCTCATCGGGGAGATGGTGGGAGACTCTGCTCTTAGACGCGGTGTAGGATTGATCGATGTGTACGCGTTGGACAGGTCCGCGAAGCTGGGTACGGATGGGTCCGTCGGTTTGGCCACGGCGGATGGTGTGATCGAAGATGAAGATGCGGGAGGCTCCCGTGCTGTACAATGATTGTTAGTTTCATTCGAAAAGATTCTGGGGTTTCGGGGTTTCGTACGCGTCTTTTAGTAGTTGTTCTGTTTCTGGGTAGTATTCGGCCTTGATCTTCTCGTCGTCTAGGAAGTCCTTCTCTCGGCTTTCGTGGTAGTAGAGCTGGAATCCATGGCTGTCTAGCTTGTAGTCAAGCTCATGGCCACTGATATCGTGGATGGTGGTCTCGAGAGGAACCGTGGGTCGATCGTAGGTTTCTGGTTTGTTGGTATATGTTGGTTCCGGGGGAGAGCCATCCTCATTCTCTTTAAAGAAGTTCAGCGTAGTCTGAACGTGGTGAGGCTTTTCGGAAACCGGGACTCCGGGCTTTTCTGAGAGCAGAGGGCCGTGGGAGGCGGGGAGTTGAACAGCTGCAGAAGCCATGATGATTTATTTGGATGCTTATTCAAAGATAATTCCCAGATAATAGTTAGTTGGCGATAATGAAAGATCCTTTATATAGTATCGCTGTTGCGGGGGTGAGTTTTATTTGTCAGAATACAGCACGCAATATTGGTATGACATGGAGAAATGCTGATAAATGCACAGTTTTGTCCGGCGAATACAATAATTAAGCCCGCTCCTTAAGGAAGAAGTACAACATGTGATGGATTCACATTATTAATGGGCGATGTCGTGCAGATGCCATTTATAATATCGTATTCCCCGGAAGATCATTCGACGATCGAGATGACGCAACTTTATATTGAATGTACGAAAAACAACATTGCTCCCATAGATTTAGCTAAGATCTTGTCTTCTTGTGGTCCATTATATTTATTTATTAGTAGACACATGTAGGATTTAGATGTGAGATAAAGAATGGGTTGTGAACCCTGATGGCTATAAGGCTTCGTAGACGGCGGACACGGAAGAACCAAACCAGATAATTTAACCTCAAAACCTGAATCCTGGAATATCTTAAACTATCCCAGTCGCCATTGTCTTTCAGGGTCAGAACCCCATCCCGGTCGGTATAAGGGAATACCGCGGCGGCGCAGAGAAAGCTGCCTGAGGTCGTCTTCCTTGGACGAGTTGTGCCAACTGGCAACTGGAAGTTTACTGGGCGGTTTGCGGATACCTCGATGCAACCAGCAAGGCACTATATTTTCAGAAAGTTATCGATTCGGCAGTGAAAGTGCCACCGTTGTAGATGTTCCTCCCAGCTGTGAAATTGCCACTGAAGATTTGATTCGTTGGCGACGGGTCAGGTTGTTTTTCATCAGACCTATCCTCCATTTGTCTTACTGACCCCCTCCATATCTTAAGTATACCCTTTGCGCAGGCTGCTGCTGTTGCTGCAGCATAGGGCTGCCAATCTTTGCCCTTATGGCTATCGGCATAGTCGCACACCCCTTTAACCACGATGGTCGGGATCGTGTCCCATAGTCCAGCCGCTTCCATTTCGAAGCCAATCACACCTTCCTGCTTGGCAATGTGGTCACGATGGAATGCAGATTTGATGACTTGATCGCCTGAAGCTAGTCCACCAAAATGTATATCAGGACAGTAAGATGATGCGCTGTAACCTTTCATGTTCATCGCATGTATTCTAGCCCGAGGCACCAGTCTACTTGGATCACACCCAAGGTCAGCGCAAGATGAGTTCAAGGCCTCAGCGCAGACATCATCTTCGGGGTGTGTCCATTGGGCACAAACTGTACACGTTGTTGCCTCACCATGTTTATGGCTGTAGACTGCTTCAAAAAGTTTGTCTTTGCTAGAACCGGGATATTCTGAAAGCGTAAGATCCGCTCGCATTGAATCCTTAATACTGGTCTGGGCAGCTTGCCCTTGGAGTTTGGATAAAAACCCACCAATCTCCGGGCTTGGTCTGCCAAGATTGTCCAGGAGCGAGTTCTTGCGAAGAAAGGTGTGCGGGTATAGCCTCCCAAAATCAGATGGGACAATATGTGTGCTGATAAGAACATCTCCTAGGATGATCTCTTCTTTGCCACACCCAGAGAAAGGCACACCACCGCATATTCCAACCAGGAAACCCACTCGGATGTATGGAAAGCTGGACCGCAAGCTGGCTGCCACACTGGAAGCCGATGCCTTGCCCATACGAGGCATGTGTACTAGCACAACAGGGTGTTGATGGATTCGACCAAAGGTATAGCTATTAGTGTCGCCAGGGCCCTTCTTATACTGTTCTTCCGGCTCCCAAATATCGTCGAATAACGCGATCATCGCATCGGCTTCGAGGTGCAAAGCACAAAAAATGGCAATCTCAAAAATATGGGGATCCCGGGGTCTGGTGTGTTTATCGGTCAACATGGCTAAGTGTGTTGGTCCGAAAGGGTAGATAGACGATTACATTATTATATGATCGTGGCAAAGGAAAATCAATAAGCACACTGGGGGAGTGAGTATAAAGAAGAGTTGAGAGATAGAACAGTCAACAGTCAATTCAAACGATGGAAATCACCTCCTGCATGTTACCTTCATTTACGCTCATCTTACTACTCAGCCCAACCCCCAGTTGGGCCACAACTACCCCGCATGCGGCTGAACGTTCCTGCCATCACGATCCCACGATGTGAGTTATATTAGAGACTAAATTGCTAGCTGTAACAATTCCCGGCCTTGGGGCATATATGCTCGATTTTCCATGACGTGAAATTACGTCGAGGTTCCAAAAATGGAAAGAGCACAGGATTTCGCTGGTAGCTTCAATAGCAACGCCCACCAGTTGAACGGCAACACATTAAACTTTAACGGACCTGTTTCCATTTCAGCAACCCATGAGAAGAATGAAAACCACGCAGCATCCACACAAAACGACTCAATTTTGGAGTCTCATATACGTGTTCATGATAATATTGACGGGATGTCTGGTTCTAGCCAGAGTGGAATTCTGAACTGGGATGGTAGGTGACTCGAGCTTTTCCATTTTATACCTATGGTCTGACACCGAGAAGAATGTCTCCAATCACTTGCATTCAACGAATCAAACGACAGGGAACGATACATTGAAGCACAATCAGCAGGTACTTGTGAATGGCTGATGAAATCACCGGAGTACTTGCGCTGGGTCGACGAACATGGTTTACTCCTAATCAGAGGCAAACCTGGGTGCGGGAAATCCACACTTCTGAAGTTTGTACTAGGCCAACACATGGAAGCTGCTGCCCCTTTGGGCTCTATCGTGTTGTCTTTTTTCTTCTATGCCAGCGGCACAGAACTTCAGAGGGGCACATTGGGCTTCTTCCGGTCTCTTTTGCTTCAATTGCTTGACCAAGATGAGTATTCACGACCGGAATTTATGAAAATTTGCCGCAAATATTGCAAGCCAAGGGAAAATTTGCTGTTAAAATGGCAACAGGTTGAGCTTGAAGCTCATTTCCAGAAGCTTGTCGTTAGCTGTTCTGCCCGGCGGGAGATACTGATATTTGTCGACGCTCTTGACGAGTGCAGCGACAAGGATCGGGATCGTCTTATCAGCTTCATCCATGGTCTTCGCGGTCAGATGAAGTCGAGACTGAATAGACCGGGTATTTTTGTCACGTGTCGTCCATATCCGGATGGCCAAATCAAGGCAGACTTCCAAATTCGACTAGAAGAGGAGAATCAGGATGATATTGAAAGTTTCGTGGAACACAAATTGCGCCTGCCCGATGAATCAATGGCAGATATAGAAGAGTTGAAGTGTACTCTGCTGAGCAAGACTAATGGCTTATTTCTCTGGCTTGCCTTGATTATTCAACAGATACACCATATGAGCGGCAAGGGGTTGAGTCTGAAAAGAATAAAATCGGAGCTCCTCGAATGCCCACAAGAGCTTGATAGGCTATACGAAGGCCTCCTAGGAGATATCCAAGACGACGAGCTACTGGAAGCTTGCACATTGTTCCAATGGGTTTGTTTTGCGATCCGGTCACTTTCTCTTGATGAACTCAGAATTGCAATGACAGTACACTTGAGTGGACCGAAAGGATCTTTAAGAGAGTATGAAGATGGCGATAATCCTCAGTTAATACCAAGCGAAGTCAAGATGAGGAAGCGGATGATTCACTTGAGCCGAGGTCTTGTCGACATTGGAAGTGCTAAGCTAAGTGATAGCAAAGCCATTGTTGGCTTTCACCATGATACAATCAGACATTTCATGCTGAGTAAAGGGTTAAGCTATCTGAACAGACGGCTACATGAGCCTCGAAGCCTCACGCAGATTGCTAGTGTACGGCTGGCAAACACATGTCTCCAATATTTGTCAACAGAGGAGATTCGTCTTGCTTGCCAAGAGGACATTTTGTCAAGAGAAAAATTTCAATTTCTAGGTTATGCAGCGACATGCTGGGTCTCACATGCTGTTATGGCGGAAAGAGAGAACTTAGGAGAAGAGATTACATGGCCAACGGAAACTATACTTGATGTGTGGATCAATACATGCAAGAGTCTGGAGAATAATACAAGCAAAACTGCCATCGAAGGGACGTCTTTGATGCATATTGCAGCTGAATTTGGTCTTGACAATTTAGCGAAGAGAATTCTGTGCACAGAGAAGCAAAATGTTTCAACTATTTCAAGCCACGGAAAGCTGAGAATTAGCGATACTTCGAAGTCGGCGACAAGAGACTCGACGATGAAGATGGCGAGGAAAAGCGGGCAGGTAAAGGTCAACACAATACCAGCCAGCACCCGAAAACTGCCACTGAACACAAGGGAAGGACCTGAGCCATGGAGAAAGTCGGACGAAAGCTGGAAGGGGGCAGGAGAAAGGGTTGTGGGCTCCGATACAGTGAAAGTGGGCAGAGGTGGCACGCGGGAGAAAGTTAAAATGGGGTTGAAGAGAGTGGGAGAAAAAGGAGGTAGAGTTTTAGTCAATGCTCAGAACAAGAGAGGTGATTCCCCACTACATTTGGCTGCAGAGCATGGCTGTCTTGAAATGGTGATATTTCTCTGCCAGTGGGGAAGTAAGACGACAAAACCCAACTATTATGGGTGCACACCACTTTACAGAGCATCGCAGAACGGACATCTCGAAGTGGTCAAGTTTCTATACGAGCATGGCGCAAATACGGACATTCATACGGCGGGAGGAGGTAGTTGGACCCCATTATATGCGGCTTCAGATTCCGGCCATCTCGAGATTGTCAAGTTTCTATACGAGCATGGCGCAGATATCGACATTCATGTAGCTGGATGGAATGGTTGGACCCCATTATATGCGGCTTCGTATTCCGGCCATCTCGAGATTGTCAAGTTTCTATACGAGCATGGAGCCGACGTTCACACGGCTACAAATGATGGCTGGACTCCATTGTATGGGGCTTCATATTCGGGTCATCTCGAAATTGTCAAGTTTTTATATGAGCATGGAGCGGATGTTCACATGGCCACAAAAGATAGCTGGACTCCATTGTATAGGGCTTCATATTCCGGCCGTTTCGAAATTGTCAAGTTTTTATATGAGCATGGAGCGGATGTTCACGCGGCAACAAAGGATGGCTGGACTCCATTGTATGGGGCTTCATATTTTGGTCATCTCGAAATTGTCAAGTTTTTATACGAGCATGGAGCCGACGTTCACACGGCTACAAAGGATGGCTGGACTCCATTGTATGGGGCTTCATATTCTGGTCATCTCGAAATTGTCAAGTTTCTGTACGAGCATGGATCCGACGTTCACACGCCCACAAAGGATAGCTGGACTCTATTATTTGCGGCCTCAGTTGCTGGCCAACTCGAAATTGTCAAGTTTTTGTACGAGCATGGAGCCGACGTTCACACGGGCACAGAGGATGGCTGGACCCCACTACATGCGGCTTCATATTCTGGTCATCTCGAAGTAGTCAAGTTTCTGTGCGAGCATAGAGCAGGTGTCGATATTCACATGGCCACAAACGATGGTTGGACCCCACTATATGCGGCTTCATATTCAGGTCATCTCGAAGTAGTCAAGTTTCTGTGCGAGCATGGAGCAGATGTCGATATTCACACGGCCACAAACAATGGTTGGACCCCACTACATGCGGCTTCATCTTTGGGCCATCTCGAAGTGGTCAAGTTTCTGTGCTATCATGGAGATACCGATATTCACACGGCCACAAACGATGGCTGGACTCCATTATATGTGGCTTTATATTCGGGCCATCTCGAAGTAGTCAAGTTTCTATACGAGTATGGAGATGCCGACATTCATACAGTGACAAAAGATCAGGGCTGGACCCCACTATATACAGCTTCATCTTCGGGCCATCTCGAAGTAGTCAAGTTTCTATGCGGTCATGGAGCAGATGCCGACATTCACACGGCCACACAGGATGGCTGGACCCCACTACATGCAGCTTCATCTTCGGGCCATCTCGAAGTGGTCAAGTTTCTGTGGAATCACGGAGCAGATGCCGACATTCATATAATAACAAAGAATGATGGCTGGACCCCACTACATGCGGCTTCATATTCGGGCCATCTCGAAGTAGTCAAGTTTCTGTGCGAGCATGGAGCAGGTGTCGATATTCACATGACCACAAACGATGGTTGGACCCCACTACATGCGGCTTCATCTTCGGGCCATCTCGAAGTAGTCAAGTTTCTGTGCGAGCGTAAAGCGGACGTTCATACGGCTACAGAGGAAGGCTATACTCCGATCTTTGCGGCATCAAGTAATGGCCATCTCGAAGTAGTCAAATTTCTATGCGATCATGGAGCAGATACCGACATCCATACAGTCACAAAGGATGGCTGGACCCCATTATGTGCGGCTTCTGATTCCGGCCATCTCGAAGTAGTCAAATTTCTATGCGATCATGGAGCAGATACCGAGATCCATACAGTCACAAAAGATGGCTGGACCCCATTATGTGCGGCTTCTGATTCCGGCCATCTCGAAGTAGTCAAATTTCTATGCGATCATGGAGCAGATACCGACATCCATACAGCCACAAAAGATGGCTGGACCCCATTATGTGCGGCTTCTGATTCCGGGCATCTCGAAGTAGTCAAGTTTCTGTACGAGCGTAAAGCGGACGTTCATACGGCTACAGAGGATGGCCATACTCCGATCTTTGCGGCATCAAGTAATGGCCATCTCGAAGTAGTCAAATTTCTATGCGATCATGGAGCAGATACCGACATCCATACAGTCACAAAGGATGGCTGGACCCCATTATGTGCGGCTTCCCATTCCGGCCATCTCGGGGTGGTCAAGCTTCTATACGAGCATGGAGCTCGCGTTGAAGCTCAGGATCCCTGCGGACGGACGTCGCTTTTCCTTGCCTCTGCCCGAAGTCATATGGAAGTCGTGCAACAACTTCTATCCCGCGGGGCTGTGGTCGATACAAAAGACCGTTACGGTTCTACTCCGCTCTTTGCGGCTGTGAGAAACGGGCATGAGACAGCTGTTATGTATTTGCTTGCCCTTCAGGGCGCTTGCGTCCAGTTTGAAGACGCCTTCGGTCACACTTTGCTCTGGTGGGCTAGAAAAAGCGGGAATGCTAAAGTCTCTGACGCCGTCCTTCGATTTGCTGAAACAAGAGGCATTAAAGTCAGCCAAGGTGACTTGGCTGTGGAGGCCAGCTCGATGGCGAGAGATAGTTCTACCACGTGGTGCGATGTATGCACTCGATTTCTTTCTATTGGGGGCGCCAATCACCAATGTTCTATCTGTCTGTCTGCCAGTTTCGCTGTCTGCCTGGAGTGCTTTGAGATGGGCGCGCGGTGTCTGGATGGTTCTCACGAGTTGGTTTTGGAAGAAGTTGTTGAATGATTGTACAGGCTTGTTTGCTAGATTCAGGGTATAAATACCCTGCTTTCCCATAGATTAAATGTCAATATTTCTTCCTCCCAGGTAGTAGCCTCATCAGAGATGACCACCTCTATCTATAGTATGTGGGTCGCCGACAACTATTCTATTCCACTATCTGGAAAATCATTGCCCTGATGGAAGGACAATTCCTCAATAAGATCACAAATTTGAATATGGAGACAGACACTATTGCGACTGCCGATAGTCTAGCAGGTTATGTATACCGTTTATTAGCTGGCGGTTTCTACGCTGACGATTTGGCCTATGGCAACTGCGATAACACTGTTTATCAAATTGGCTCTGCAAGGAAATTCTACCTCTATCGTTGACGAGGTAAGGCTTTAATAATCCGATGTATTTGGCTCAAGGTTATATTAGAGGTTTATGTGTACGAGCACACCGTGTTTATTTTTGTACATCATTTGACCTGTCTTTCTATATGGATACGAAAGCCCGTAAAAAAAAGCATAAACGGTACGAAGGACTTTTCTCAATATAAACAGGGATTGAACAGGAGATATTTGTGCTAATGGGTCGGGTAAATCGTTTATTGTGGCGCCTTCCAGTCTGATCTTTGGGAACGGAACACGTAGTTCGGGCTTTGTTCAGCACAAGTTATTCCTGAATGGAGCCAAATGGGATAATCAGACAAATTTATTGGCGATTGATGTCGAGGAATTCTAAACAGTCGTTGTGCCGTTTTTATAGTTCTACACAGATCTATTTCATTTTCATTTTCATTTTCATTTTCTATAACTAATTTTCTCAACATCCAGGCCAGTTATCATCAAACACCAACGACGTGAATAAATACGGATTTATACAATCGAAGTAGAACGAGGTGATTGTCCAAGATATCACATCGCACGCCTTTGCACTGGCCACCAAGGTCCTCCTCAACAAAGTTAAAAAGCAGCGGCAACGGCTTTTCCCCTCGGCAGTCTGACATCCCACGTCAGACCATAGCCTCAGCATTCAAATACACGTGGGCGCCAATAAGATCGCCTTGAATTGAAAGCAGAATCCTCAGGGTCTTAGTATAAAGTCTTCGTAAATCCCTGTAGTCCAAATTTATCCGACACCAAACATTCTAACCAAACCCCAAATCCCCCTCCCCCACCATGGCAGCTATTCAAGCAAGATGGACCAAAGTCGTCGAGGCAGAGATATTACAGCGATCCTCCCAAATAGTCTCCGTCATTGACAGACAGGTCTACATCTTTGGCGGGGAGTTGCGGCCACGAGAACCTAGAGACAATGACGTTCACACTGTTTCACTTGGAGATTGTGAGTTTCCCTATATGTCCACAGACAATATGACACATATTTGAGACAAAAACGCCCTCGAAATCAATACCACCACATACATATACATACAACTAACCAATCCCATAGCCGCAACGCTATCCACCAAACAGGCCCCCGCCCAATCCCCCTCACCACGGGTAGGAACCGCATCAACAAACCTGAATGGCAAAGTCTACCTATTCTCCGGAAGAGGAGGCACAGCAATGGCACCGATAGAAGAAAACGGCGGAATCTGGGAATTCGACCCCAGCGCAAACAAATGGACTCTTCTAACACCATCCAATCCAAAGCCATCCTCGATCCCAGCAGCACGCAGCTACCACTGCACTGCCAACGACGGAAAAGACACCGTCTTCGTCCACGCAGGCTGTCCCGAGAAGGGCCGTCTATCGGATCTGTGGGCGTTCAGTGTCTCCCAGAAGCAATGGACGGAACTTGCTCCGGCGCCGGATCCACCGCGTGGTGGGACTTCTATTGCGTTTACCGGGGGCAGACTGTATCGGATGAATGGGTTTGATGGAGAGCGGGAGCAGGGTGGGAGAGTAGATGTCTATGAGCCCGAATCCAATGTGTGGAGCTCGCATTCGTTTATTCCGGATGGTGTGAGTGAGCCATCGCCGCGGAGTGTGGCGGTCTTGCTTCCTGTTGTGGTTTCTGGTCGTGTGTACTTGGTTACCCTGTTTGGTGAGCGGGATCCTAGTTCATTGGGACACCAGGGTGCGGGGAAGATGTTGGGTGATGTGTGGGTGTTTGATGTTGAGACTAAGTTATGGACGAAGATTGAGGCTCGGGGAGATGAGCATCCTGACCCACGGGGTTGGTTTGATGCAGATGTCCTTGATTATGGGAGTATTGTGGTCCATGGTGGACTGGGAGAATCTAATAATCGGCTGGGTGACGTTTGGACTCTCGAGTTTTTCTAGTCTTTTGGAGAATTTGATTTTTGACATGGAATCCAACAGTCTTTAACATGAATAAAGGAAATTTTGTAACAGAATTATGGATTCTTGGGAAGAAGAGAACAAAGGAGAAGTGTAATCAAGGTACAGGGAAAGCATAGAAAATTATCAAAAGGAAATCATTTGTGCGTGCTATGGGGTCTTGAATCGTACAGTTGCCATATTTGCCTTCGCCATTCCGCAACAATTCATAAGGAAAATAATGGACAGAGAAAAAGAAAAGTCGAGAAACGAGTCGCACCTTAAACCAACACCATAAGAGAAAGTGCTGCAAACGAAAATGAACAAAAAAAAAAGGCCAAGTGACTGTCATCGCGAAACGCAAGAAGAAACGGGGAACAAAACAAAAACAAACTGGAATGCGATGGGAGACCTCCAAGAGACAAATAAAAAGAGTTATTGTGACAACTGACATGAAGCACAGAAGAAGTCAAGGAGGATGTGTGCTTTGGAACTCTACTCATTTCAGAGTAGTACTTAGAACATGAGAGAGCGGGTTTTCTGTCGACGCGCTTCAGCACTACCTATCTCAGGTTGAGAGTAGGTGTGCTTATGCCGAGGACGCTGGGATTGAGACGCCGGCGCCCCAGATCCCGCAGAAGCGGGAGGTCCCATTATGGCACTCACTCGGGTCCTAGTAGGAGATGGGGCTGAGGCAGGTGCTGTGGGGATCCCACTGGGCGGACGGCGAGGAGCAGTTTCATTGCTGGTTTTCATGCTACGCTCGCGCTTAAGCACAAGATCAGCCCAGGGCTTGAGTGCACCATTGCCGGACGTAGAGCCCTTCCCAACAGCTTCAGACATGACTCGAAGCCAGCCCTCCTTAGCTTCAGGGCTATCCGCATAGAAGTCAATCACTTCACCGTTGCCAAAGCGGATGCGGAATCCCTCCTCAACAAACATATAGCCATCTTCCTCCTCGGCAAATGCAGACTTGCGGCGGGAACCACCCTTTGTGCTGGTCTCCTTCTGAAGGAGGGAGGACCGATCGTCAATGAGTTTGGAGGCCTTGGCGAGATTGATGGTAGCACGAGGTTGGCGTGTTGTTTCGTGGAAGGCCGTCAACTTAGATCCCTGGAGCTTGAAGAAGCGACGGCGCCAGTACTATTGTGATTGATTAGTTTTAAATCGGCAACAGAAGACTTTGTGAACACTTACTGGGCAATCTCCACCCTGCTGGGAAAGGAACCCTTCCCAGGAGCGAGCTGCAACACTCTCTGCATCACGCATTTCGCGAATGCAGGCGTTCATGCTCTTGGGCATGTCTTCATCCTTGCTACCCTTGGGCTTGGGCACAAAGAGCAGTTGCACTTCCAATTTTCCAATCTTGTATGGTGGTCGGCGCTGGGTATTGATGCTAGTCGCGCTCTTCTTGCTCTTGACGCTGCTCATTTGTTCCTCAACTGCCCATTCGTTGAAGCAAGCAACATCAACAATGTGGGGACGGCCAAAGGCCTGCTGCTCGTGGTCGCTCAAAGCCACATACGCGCGGCCAAAGCTACCATCACGCGCAACCAAGTTTCGAAGCCGCTCGTAGACAGGAGCATTAACGTCCTTGGTCTTCTGTTGCTGGGACTGCATTTGTTGCTTAATGTCAAGCTCCTTGCGCCGGCGTGGGGATGCAAATACACGGCTGAGGGCCGAGGCCTTTTGACGCGATGGGGATGATGCGGGTTCCTGGGTCTGGAACTTGCTCTCATCAATCTTCATTTGCAAGGTCAACTGGAACTCAAGGTCATTCTGGACAATGAGCTCAAACTCCTGTCCAATGGGAGCAGACTTGCCCATCTCTAACCAGGAGGTGGTCACACAGTGCAGTCCGTTATCCAAAGTCAGTGCAAAGTACGAGCGTTCACCTAAAATTCGATTAGTAACATGAATTGCATAGGTCTTGATGATAGGATTTTACCTCGTGGGAGAGGAAGGTCACAGTATTTGAGGCCTACGACCTTCACAAACAAACGCCCTCGCTCTTCGCCATCTTCAAACGATTCGGAGATGGCCGGCTCAATCTCTTCGATAGTCGCAGGGGCTTCCTGGACATTGCTAGGCTGTCCAGGGAGAGGCGGGACCCCACCCACACCAGGGACGGGCTTTTTCTTCGGGATACCGGTGGAAGCCTTAATACTTGGGCGGCGCGGTGAGCCATTCCAAGGCACTGTGGTCCAAGTCTGTTGGCTAGGCTTTCGTGGAGAAGAGCCAGCAGAACGTGTACCCCGCGGGTCTTGGGCAGTGTGCTCGGTCGAAGGCATTGCTTCTTCTTCGTTACGGCTGCTGGCAACGATAACTTTGGTGTTCTGTCTCATGAGGTATCCTCTCTGTTTTGGGGTACAAGAGTCAGCGGGGTCTGCACTATTTTCTAAGGGATTCGTGGGTGCTTTCGTTTGAGAAGTCGCCACAGAACCAGGGCTTTGGGAAAGAGCAAGGTGAAACGCAACCTTTTGGGATTCAATGACACGATCAAACTCCTTGTCCAGTCCAAAACCGAGACTTTCTTCTTGGATACTGAAGGGAATATCGAGTTTCAAACAACTGCTTTGTCGCTGGGCAACATCCGTAGGCAACCCCAACTTCGGTGGCAAGTCAATCTGCTTTTGTTCGCCATCCGACGTATTCGAGTCATTGGAGATCTG